TGAAGTGTGGTCTTGATTTGGATACACACTAGCCTGGGGCTCATGAGAAAATTTAAGTCGGGGCCGTGCTTCAAACAAAGTAGTTTGTATGATATGTAATTTAAATACATCTGGAGTTAGCTGTGTTTGTACCATACATTTACACTTCTTCACTTACAGTCTCTCCTTGAAGGCATTGTACTTGTTTGTTTACATGACAAGTGAAAGAAGTAGTTGTGTGAAGAATGAAAAAAAAAAAGACTGACCTCTTTAGCCTGCTCAACACGAGCAATGTCAATCCTCTGCAACATGGACTCACTTTGACTGTGGATTATTCCCCTTCTGACCCAAAAGGGTCCGACTGCAGCACCTCGGACCTCCCCCCAGGTCTCTCTCATGCAGGTATTATCACTACCTGCATGGTCACACTTCAAACCATAACACCGGTAGCGCAGTTATGCCCTTGCCCCACAAAAGTCGGAACAAACTTTTAAATTAGGCCTTGTTGATCTAATGTGAGTGCAAGTTCAGGAACTGGAGTGTTTATTTCTCACCTACAATTTGTTCAGAGACAGATTTTGGTGGACTGCTAAGGTGAAAAAAATGTCCATTATGGAACTCTACTACTCATGCTCAAACCCCATTGGCTCACAGAGCTTCAGGAGGACCCTTCTCTTCTGTCTTGGACGAGAACATTCATCACAGAACTGTATTTAAATTCACATTTTAAATAGCAGAATAATTATAGAGTGTCTCTAAAGCACACCCTGTAGTTCTTGTAATATATTTTCAAAAGGAAGACACCAAGATGCTTTAGGGTGGCAATAAAACTGACAATAAATGTCAATAAACTTCAGCTTCATATGCAACCTGAAGTTTCCTGATATCCTTTTTAAATTTGCAGAATAAACCTGATAACCAAAAACCAGAGTCAGCACAACCCTAAGAAACACACTCCTCAGGTACAGTTACTGCCCGAAACATGAATTTAATCATTTCCAGGGATGCAAAAGAAAATCTGAGCATGTTCAAAGGTTCTGGTAATGTATCCGCTCTGATGCCAGAACATCAGATACATTACAGACGAAAATATGAGCCCAACTGAGGTTTCAGTTCTGTGAATGAGCATAGCAGCGATCAGTCAGGGCTGTAGGCGTTTTAGCATGGGTGAACTTGATTGTTTTTCACGTCACCCTTCACTGAATCCCTGCCTCAAGGTGAAGATTAGCTCTTGTCCATCAGCTGAATAACTGCAGTAAATTCCTATAACAATGAAGGAAGGTGGGATAAATTGAAGCTTATAATCGATTAGAACTTTTAAGAACCAACAGTGATGCTGACCAGTGTTTTCCTCTCAAACAAAGGCCAGGGCTTTTAAATCACAGGCCGCACACTAACTCTTTCTTTATGTCAGAGTGCGGGGCAAGACTATAGATCTTTCCCTTTGTAAAACCAAGAGGATGAGTCTCAACGGTCCAAAGCTCTCTCTCAGCACTTCATTAGTTTTTGTTTTTTTTATTTAGCACAGAGAGAAGAGAGGAACACCTGCATGCAGCAGCAGCATAGCCTGAGCTGTACCCAGAGTCACAACTGTCACAGCATCCAGCCTGCAGCCTCTCTCACTAACCAAGCTGTAATATTCATCGGAAAAAATGTCAAAAAGCAAGGTCTGAATATTGCAAATGGCAGCAGGTTGCGGCATTGTGACAGACAGGAAAATTATTTCAGACAGCTTCGTCAACAACGCACTATTTCCTGTCAACAAGCCCTAACATACTAACAAAGTTACATGTCAGGGGAAATCTTTAATTTTCCTACTGCTTAGCAAATGTCAGAGAGCTTACAGTTGACACAGCACCATACTGTACTGCAGTAAGTTCTCTCAGATGTTCTCATAACACATCACTAACTCACTCACACTAGGTATTGCTGTGTTTACTACACATTGTAATTTCTGATCATTTGCTACTAGATCTGGGAGTGTTATAGTAGCAGCTGATCTCAAGCAGAGATGAGGAGTGGGCTCTAGAGAACTCCACACCCACAAGATTTGTTTCATTTTCAAAACTGTAGCCTTCAGCCTCCACCAACACTGACTCAAGTGACATCACTTGAGGATAGGGATGTCCTGATCATGCTTTTTTAGCCCCTGATCCAATCCGAGTCATTTAATATTGAGTATCTGTCGATACTGATACAGGGTCCCAATCCAATACTTGTATTTGTTTTAGGTAATACAGTGCCCAGTGCACACTTCAAGTACATTAAAGTTATGGAAATCAATTCAGTGTATATGCTTGCTAGTTCTGTGTTACATTAAGAAACAAAATGCCTACGTCGAAGCTATTCCTTAATGTTTTTTTAATTTATTTTTTGACAAAATAAAGCATAAGACAAGAAACCCTCTGCAATCTTTTTGGTCTTGTCACGGTCTGGAGGGAGTTTCTCTCTCCAGTGTTTGGTGCCTCGGTGCAGCTTTTACCTGAGTTACTTGAACGAACTGTCTGTATTCTGCTGAGTGTTTATTTCTGTCGTCTCTACATCTTTTGTGCAGATTACATTAATTAATTACTCTTACTGGCTTCTGTTGGGACGTTTGTTGCACTTGCAGAGGCGGAGCTGCTCCTGCTCTCTCACACACAGAACAGAATGGAGGAAAAGTAACAGCGAGAGAGTTCACAAACAGCTGTATGACAGATACTGATTGGTTAAAAACACACTGATACCGATTGTTGAGATCAGATGGGGACATTCATACAAGAGGACATTTATCAGACCCGTCACAGTGGTCTGTGGCTGGTGCCACAAAATGCTTTCTATACCTTTTTTCACATATAGAGTAGTACTCCCTAAGATCTGTAAACAGAACATGATGTGTAAAATTGTTGGTTTACCTTTAAAGGTATATCGACGTGTTTTTTATCGCATATGTCTAGTACTGTACATCACCTATACGCCAGTATCTGGCCCAACAAAAAAGTCATTTTGTAGGTATTTTTAAATGCCATTTTTGATGTGTCATTTCCTGGAAAACAATTTTAAAAAATGATGACTCATCTTGCACTTGGGATTGTTTATAATTTTGCATCCAATGAAATGTTTTCCTTCTTGTGATGCCACTGGGTGCCGGAGTAGTGCCTCGCCAGAAACGGACGCTTCTGACCTCAGTGATTACTGAACAAAAACACAACTTTATAAGTTTAATCATGGATTTGGGTGAAACTGGCTCATGTTCTGCGCTGTTGGCTGTTCTAAACACAAAGCAATATCTGTCCCTCCCTTACTGCCTGTTATTACAGGAAATATGTGAATATGCCGAAACAATAAGCACTTTGCTAGCCATATCATGGGAACTTGCAAACACACAGAAGTTAAGTTTATATTCAGTAATTCTTAATAAAACGTGTATTGAGGTAACAAATGTGTCATTTGCATTAGTTTCCTCATTTGCAAAACAGATTTTGAATATCTTTAATGGTGCACTGCTTACATCCATGTCTACTAGCAACTAGTCTTCACTGCCTTTGCACACACATTTCTATGTTCCTTGGCGTGTTACTGCAATCAACCGTCTATCAGTGAAGTGTTGTGAAATCGCGTACATTTTCAGGCATGTGCACAATACAAACAAATGGGGGACCCATTCATCAAAACGTTGCTCGATGGCACTACTAGTGGTCAGACACTCCACAGGGTACCTTTAATAATTTCTTGACTGAACCTGACATGCAATATAAGAATTTCCCGTTGAAATACTAGTGTCAATTTGAGACACATTTTGCAATGGTGTTGCAAGTTGCTGCAAACCAACACAAGAGTATTTAGTCAATGGCCCCTCGATCTATGCACCAGTATAAACTGTCTGAACTGAAAATAAACTCTCTCGTTTGTTTGAACTGATAATGGTGTGTTTGCTTCTTTGCCAGTGTGCTGACAGGCAGTGACGTTATGTAAATCTGTTTGAAAGTGACGCGCTTTAGTGAGAAGCCGTGCCCACTGCTGCAAGGCCACTTAGGTTTGGAAAGTTCTTGGAAAGATCTGTGTCTGCTGAATGACAAAAACCATGCATAACCTTTATTCTGCTTTCACACAAAGAGGTGGAGCAGGGAAAACATAATGTGTAACCCATAAAGGGTTGCAGCAGTATACCAATTGCTTATCTACAGTATTGAATTCTACTACTATAATTAAATTTAAAAATACAATGAATTCAACTTTATTTAAAGGACCAGTGTGGAACATTTAGGAGGATTTAGTGGCAGACATGGAATATATATTATTATAGGTATGTTTTCATTAGTATATAATCACCTGAAAATAAGAATCATTGTGTTTTCATGACATTAAAATGAGCTGTTTTCTTCTACGGGGTCCGCCATATTAAACCGCCTTGTTTCTACAGTAGCCCTGGACACACAAACCAACCATGGTTCTAGATATGACCATTTGTTTTTTGCGGGTTTTGCAGTCACCATAGTTTCTCTTTCGTGCTTGGAAAGGGAAGGTGAAGCAAGGGAGTTGCAATCTGCAACTTTACCCCCAAATGCCACTTAATGCTACATCCTGGTCCTTTTAAAAAATATATATATATTGAATTCTATCTGTCTATCTCATCCAAACAATATAGGATATAATAGTTTGTAAAATTATAAAAAAAAAAAAAAAAAAACCTTCTGTTTTCATTCATTCATCTAAGGGTCATTGTAACAGATAATGATAATAATAATAATAATAACAATGTGTAATACTGTTATACTGTGCACCTGTGATATTTTCTGAGGCTGTTATACCTTGAAAATCTCATACCATATTCAACTACAGTGGTAAAAATGATAAATTATTTATTTATTATGAAATGAACACAAACACATGATATAAAGAAAGTAACTACTGAATGAATAATATCACATAAAGGGCTTTAACTTTTAAATTGTAGGTAGAAAATGATACTGTCTACATGTAAGATAACAGCAAAACATGCAAAACCGTTTAATATAATGAAAACACCTCAGTGCACTTACCGATGGTGATCTGACTGACACAGCTGTAGAAGGTTCCCGAAGAGGCATTGTAGCTGCTACTGCTGGGCTCACGGTCTACGACAGGTGGAGAGATCACACATACAGTAAGGTACAGTATCTGGTAGACTCTTTTATCCAAAGCAACTTACAGTACAACAAAGGCAACAAAGTTGTAGTTTCAGTTACTTTTACGCTTTTGTAATGGATATGTGTGGCAAAAAAGTTTTCCTTGGTCCCAGAGAATCATGTATCCTACAGTTCCAAATGTGTCCACTGATCCACTAAGCCTAGTGCTGTTCCTGAGGGCTTGAGAAAAGCCATGACCCTGCAGCGTTACAGGAATGAAACCCCTAATCCTGCAATGTTAGTGCCCTGCTCCACACATCGAGCCACACAAGGGAAAAAACCCTTGACCTTGGCAGAGTTGAGGGAATAAAATCCATGAGTCTGGCAGCTTTAGTGCTTTAGTCTACCCAATTTATATAGAGAGGGAATGAAATTATCCACTGTGGTGGAACACTGTGAATACAATTCATAACACTAGCAGCGTTATGAGAATGAGCCCATAACCCTGGAAGAGTTACAGGAAGAAGACCCTCCACTAACCCTGATAACCGAGCAAGAGTTTGTTGCTTACTGATCTAGACTGTCTGCAGATCCGAAGTGCAGCCGTTACCCTTTAATGAATTGGCTATAAGAGAGCAACTGCATCTCACAGTAACATTCTCTGATGATTGTTAGGTCAGTGTAGCAACTATATATTGTATGGAATGTGGTCGAAAAGGGGAGGTGCACGTTGCAAAAAGGTCTGGCAGCTTTACTGGTTGACAATGGTCAAGTTTCTTATCGTTTTAATTATCGATTAAGCTGCACACCATTTTTTCGACTAATCGATGAATTGTTTTGCCCATAAAATGCCACAAAATAGTGAAAAATGTCTATCATGTGTCCATGTTGGTGCTATGAAAAGTCTTGTTTCGTCCAACCAAAGGACATTTAGTTTACAGAAATATAATACAGAGAAAGCTCACATTGGAGAAGCTGCAACCAAATAATGGCTTAAACGATTAATCGATTAATGGTATAGTTGCTGATTAATTTTTTGTTGATCAACAAATCAATTAATCGACAAATCACTGCAACTCTACTTTAAAGTTAAGTTAGTGGGTTTTCAAACGTTTGCATGAAGCGCCTGTTAAATAACCTATTTACCTAGCAAGCGTACACAAAGAAATATTAGGATTCTTTTTGAGTCGTGTTTCTGACCACCTGGCAAATTCAGTCCAAAACTGACATTTTTGTCTCCACCAGGGAGCATATTTGGCTCTTTAGCTGCTAGCTATTAACGGTGCTGTTAGTTTTGGGCATGTAGAGTACAGTGGGTTTATCAGAGTATGTGAAACTGAACCACAATCATTAAAGCTGCAGTCCATCAAAACAGAGCAATGAGCTAAAAGACGCTAAAATGCTACATACAACTGAGAGGAACACAAATGTGAGCGACACCTTTAACATTACACATTGTGATTTGATCCATTGTTAATACAGAAATATGTTTTCTTAAAAAGTACATAAAAAAACTTCACAAACACACTCTTTCATAGAACGTAAACCTCTTTGCAGCTTCAATGCAACTTAATGCAACTAAGTTGTGCAAAACCTTTCAGTTTATATGGGAGTAGGTATACAAGGTGCAACTGTGATGAATTTTCTGTCGACTAAGCTGCATTTAAAAAGACTTGTCACCGCCATCAGGAATCAGTAATAATTATTACTATACTGATATTTAATTAATATTGGAATTACTGATGAGAAACAGTGCTTGCTATCACTGAGGTTTCATGGTCAATTAATAAAACAACCTTGACACTCGCAACTGAAGGCCCGATTTGGAACTTATCAAGGGAGATAGAGGTTAAATCATTAATCTGTCTCAGCAGAGACAAAGAGTTACCATGCCACAGCAGTCACTGCTTGAAGGCACCAAGCAGTGACATTATTGCATCGGACTGAGAACTGAATACAATTGCTTCTGCTCATTTAGCAATTTGGAGAACTTTTGTAGAATCCCCTCATTTCCTTATTCTCTAATCTAACACCTACAGCCGCATCAAAGAAGAGCAACTGCAGCACAGCATGGACATTCATCACTGACTGGGAGTCTTTTTCAGCCTAAGCACTCGCTATTGCTTCCATGTTCGGAGATAAAGCTGCAGGTATCATTTATTACTGAAGTTATGGGAAGTCAGCACGTGGACAAACCATATCAGCCCCTGAGCAGCTTCCAGTGACATCCATAATTTATCGTCGGATGGCGCTTAAAAATGTTAAATAAATGTGAAGTTCGGTGTGCAAAGTCATTTCATTCACAATGAGGTCAGTATCTGCTTTGTGGATTACATTTTCAATAAAGTAACCTCCAGTTCAACAATCTTGACTGTAGCAACTTCACAGGATGATAGATACTACTACCACTCTAATGAAGCATCCCTCTCTCTGGGATCTTTCCACCTATGGAAGTTGTAATTTGAAAATAAAGAGCACTGAATTCATTTTGGGTGATTTAACTTGAGTGTTTCTGAATAATACCAATCTGGATGGTCTGCTCTCAGATATTTACAGCAAGAATATTTCTCAATTTTCACACATTCTCATTAAAAAAGGTACTAACTCCTTGTGCCTGAATATTAAATATTACTAAATGAAACTATTTTGCTCAGGACTCTGGTCCCCATAAACTAAATTTAAAGCATCTTCCATAAACTCACAGACGGATGTGATTCATAACTCCTAACATTCACTCTTTATAAGTCTTGAGTTGTCCAAAGCAGTTATTTAGAGTGCCACACCCTCATCTCAGCCCACACTCAGCAGTGCAATGAGGCTAACTGGCGATACGAACTGAGGATAACACAAAAGGACACAGGCGATGGCAACGAAAAGTCCTGCTACTGTATGTCTCCCATGTGCTGCATAGGATGCTTTTACCTGCGGATCCGGAGGAGAGGCGCGTCGCGATGGCGCGGCGAGGACTGCGCGGACTTCCCGGACAAACCCGCACCACCTCGTCCTGACATTGCAAACAGATGACCTGGTTCTCCTGGTTTTCTCCGACCTTGCTGCAGCCCATGTGCTCGCCCCCGGCCTGGATCTTCATCGCTGTTTTGATCTGACGGACTAGTCGCATGTCTGCTCCTCCTGCCTCATGCTCCAGCATCCTCGTCACTCGCCGCACTTATTACGCATGGCTCCGGCGTGTGAGGGCATCAACTTCTCCTGTAGCACCTAAGGCATCCTTAACTCCACCCACTGCACTTCAACTCAAGCGCTGTTCATTCAAACCTGCTCCCTGCACCGACCCACGTCCGCCTCCATCGTGTCAGCCTCTCCTCGGCCCGTGCCGCGGTTGGTGTTGCAGTATTTACGCACGACTGCAGGCGTGGCTGCTTCACGTGGTTGGTGAGGTCGTGGTGTCAAGTTCCTGTGGGAGTATTAGTGGTACCAAGATAAAGAAGTCATAAAATAAGGTCTCTATTAAGTACCTGAGAGACTGTGGGGGTCCCAAAAGGATTATCACTGCCAGTTTAATGACAATGCCACCAAGTAGTTTAGAGTCGTTATAAGTTTGCTGGAAGACCACAGAGGTACAAACATAAATAGGTGGAAGTAACGAATTTCTAACTAAAAAAAGTTGTATTGCATATATCTACATATCTATAGAAGCCCATTTCCGGCAATGTGATAGAAAAAAAGATTATGTAAGTCAATTATGAGAAATGTTGACAAAAAGTCAAACTATGGAGAAAGTTTCTCATTATTATGACTTACAGAATCTTTTTTTCCCCTGTCACACTGGCCAAAAAGGGCTTCCATACCATACAAATGATTTTTGGAGTATTTTTAGTGTAGCCTAGACCTACTTAACCCATTAATATCCATTTAATATGCAAGTTTTTTGTTTTTCATGAACACACTTCTAGAGCATTAGTTTAGAAATTTCACATCTCATAATTTCTGACACACATGTATTCTGGACTGGTACAATATAGATTCAGAAAGAAAAATTGTAGCGTTGCTTTTCTTGTCAAGTACTCCATTGTGTAGACCGACATTTTATAATGTATTCATATACACAGCCCAGCACAGACAAACAGAGCACTGGCTTCATCACGTTTACTGTATGTTGAATGAATGTTATTGGAAAAACTGTGCTTTTATTTACCCAAGAAATACAAAAACAATATAAATCAAGAATTTATTAACAAGGCCTATAAGATGTCAACTAAATATAACTGTACTCAAACAACAACTAAACACAGTGTCAACTAAACAAACTGATGTAACACAGTTCTTCTTCTCTGACTTTAATGGTGAATCGCAAACAACTTTTAAGTGCATACCACCACCTACTGTACAAGAGTGTGTACCATTATGTCATTTATCTAGCTCTTTAAATTTTACCTGCTTTTAAAAAATGAAAAAATAACTCGACCTGACTTTTTAGCAACTCTTATTCCCCCCCCTCTCCACACTAACCCAATGACACAAGAGGGAACATATATATAGTGGCTTGGCCAAACCAAATAACACACAAGGGGTTAACGAAATGGACGCCATCTACAACTAAACACAAAGCAAACTAACTAAACACAAATCCGCCCCATGACATATCAGCCAGTGGTTTGGTCCAATGAGCGGAGTCCTGCACCCTCAGCCACACTTTTTGCTTCAGCAGGAAGGAACCGCCCCCAACAATCTGGGTAACTCAAAAGACAAAGAAACAAAGGAATAATATAACAGTAGCTGCTTGTGTAACCATGCAGTGTTAATGTGAGCACTCCATTACGGTGTAAGGTTAGTAAGCAAATAAACAACACAGTGAAGTGTGTAATGTTAATTGTTTGGGGGTGGTTGACTGCAAATAAAATGAACCTGTGTAGATAGCAACTAATGCGGTGAGGTTGGTGATATTACCCTGGGTGGCCATCACATTCTCTAACGCGTTTAGAAGGGCAAGCTGATTCCACTAAACCCTGCATATTGGTCCCTTAATAAAGCTGTCTGCATTAAATTTCGGGGGGTTGAATGTTCCACTCTAACATCCAACTATAGGAACAAGAAGAAAAACATATTTTTGACTGGAGGACCTTAACATGAAGGTGGAAATTGGGAAAATCCATATGTATTTATGAATGTATGTGAATAAATTGGTTTCCACTTCTGATGACCCCTTGCATGGCAGCTTTTGAGCCTCTCACTGTATGAATGTGGGTGAATGGGACATGTAGTGTAAAGCATTTTGAGTGGTTGGAAGATTAGAAAGGTAAGTTCAGTCTATTTTGGCCACCCCAAACCTCCTTTTTTTTGCATTTTTATCAAAGGGAAAAGTCAGAAGGAGTCTGCAGTTACACTGCTACATGCAACTAAATCCTACACACTATACCTTGTTGTTTTATAATGCTAGATTCATGAGGCAGTCCTGTGTTAGAGAAAAGTGAGGAATGCCAGATTGTGGATGCAAAATTATTACCTAATTTATTATTTGTTTGATATTCAGATCTGTAACATTTTCTTTAAAATATTCCTTTTGCATAGAAAAAAATCATCCACCAAGTGTGAAATAAAACTTTATTATAAAGAGTTAAGTTAAGTTAAGTTAATAAGTTGCAGACTTATGAAGTTTCTGCACCAATTGATTTCCCCATACTTAAAGGAAGGTCTAGCACAAAATGCAGGAAAACATCATAAAGTGCAAAACCTGAGTGAAACTAAAGCAGGTAATACAGTCAGATCTACAGTTTCCAGCCTTGGCGATACGCTGCCAAGAACTCAGAGCCTTTGAGAAAAAAAACCCACCTCATTTGAGGAACTCCCTTCATGCCTCAAGGGAAATAGCCCAGATCTGTCAAATAATAACTCAGCTACTGCAGAGATCTCTAAAAGCAGGGTGTAGACCAGACTCAGCTCAAAAAGGCCCGTTTGTTACACATCATTTCATCTTTGCTCGTTTACATAGGATGCGAGAGGCTTGCATGCCTACTGACTGATTTTGCTGCTGCCAGCCCTCTGTTTATACTGAGTTTGCCCTTGATATAATGCAATAAAAGCCCTGTTAACATATGACTGGATTCTGTCCACAGAAACGCAAGAGGGCTTTTAATCTCGAGGGATAGGTGTTAAGTTAAAAAAATTGTTTAAATGCACACATTATACCCTGCATGCATTGTTTGTAGCTTTCCTCTTTGTAGTTTGAGACCATATCTATGAATATCCAGTAGTCCATTTCAGATGTGAGTGCTGTCCGTGGTCACTACCCTCCAATTCATTCACTGGAAGTCAAGCAAAGAGAACAAACTTCACTGTAAACTAACCAGATAAGCTGCCGGGCCATCACGTTCATCATGTGTTCTCTCAAAATCAATCTCTGCTGAGGTAAGACATTCAATGTGCTTAAATTCATTTCAGTATGTTTGAAGTTTCATTTTATAGACATTGTGAAAACTAAATGTTGCCACTAACCATTCTAATATATATGTGTCTATACGTTTGAGGTTTCTCAGATTTAGTACATGTTTTCCAAGTGAACACGCATCTGAACTAAACTGAACTTTATCTGTTAGTCTTTGTTCCTGGCACATTGCTGGAGCAACAGTTTATTTGGGTATTTCAATCGCGGATTACTTTGAAATATCCAAATAAACTGTTGCGACAGAGTGCATCAAAGAGACAACCATTGCATTAGTTTACATTTCTTATCGTCTTAAACTGAACTGTCCAAGAATTAGTTTCTTATAAGCAACCTGGGAAATTCATTAGGATCATTAATTTATACAAAACTGTGTGCCAGTCCATCCAGTCAATGCTGAGATATTGCGCTTGATGAGCTGGTGGTGCTACAGAAAAGTGAAACTTAATTCTCTGGGCACCATAACATAATTTCATGACATCCAATAGTTGTTGAGACATTCCAGTCTAGACCTACACTGCTGGTATGGCCAAAACAGTATTGTGTGAGGAGAACTCATTAAGAAATCATTCAAAGTTCAATTCATAACAACTTTACATCACCACATATGTGGAAAAATTAGAGAGAAAAACTGTAATTAGCAGGAGGACAGGTATTTCTGGTCTCTGTGATAAGAGTAAATACAGATATTGATTCAGCTTGCCGCAAGGGTGCTGTTACTTTGTGTGTGGTGACAGATTGCAAAAGAGTCCAGTAACCAGATATATTCAAATATTTACATTATGTTGTTATGCAAAGGGTACATGACAAGATCAATTAGGAATATATCCCAATAATTAAATAGTTAAATGGACTTTCCTGGGTGACTGTATTTAGTCCCATTATTTGCATGGAGGATTTCACAGTCGAGTTCAAGTTTTTTCCTTTGTCTTGTTGTCTTTATTTGTTCAATCCGCTGGTCACAGTGTTGTGCTGCAGCCAGAGATGAACTCGGATCACTGATCATGGCGGTAGTAGCTTCAAGAGGGGAGGTCAGCAGATGGCTTTCAAAGTACGCCACCATCTTCCTCTGTCTGGCTGTGTTTGTTTTAATCTTTGTTCTATGTAACATGGACATCCTTGAGGTAAGAACTTGGTTTTAGTGGGACTGCTTGAAGGGTGGGATCCTGTTTCATTCATAATAGTCAGATTTCTGAATATTGTTTCAAATGCAAGGTGGATATTTTTATGGAACTTTTAATACAATTCTGTCTATTCAATCATACATACTCAATAGTGATTAATAATAATAGTTTATGATTAATTAACTTTAATAAACTATTTTGACAAATTCAGTGTTTTCTTCTCCCAGACTCTTGGCCATTGTTATATTAGGTATTTGCCTGTTTTGTGCATACTTTTTAGGTAACCTTAAAGAGAGGAGACCAGAATTTCTACTCTCTGGAGAAAGTTAGGCAATTTGACAGTGTGGGGGATGAAAATGTTAGATGGGTAGTAAATGTATATAGAGTGTTTAGGGGAGTTGTGGTTTTATGGTAAGGGGATGACTGATAAACATTTGGTCACAGTCATAGGGTCTGATCACAGGACCATTTGTGTGAGAGACCTCAAGCCCATCATGTGGAAGTTACATTAGTAATGTAAATAGGACACCAGATGTGTTCCTGTTTAAATGATGTACCGAGGGCTATATCAGGGAGAGCATTCTGGAAATCAAGAGAGAATACTCATGATGTGGTCTTCTCTCCATGCTGCATGTAAGTGTCTTGATTATCACACCGGCTTGAAAGTTCTTCAGAGAACTAGCAACTCTCAATTTTTGGGAAGAATTTCCACGACAACAGTATTAAGAAAAATATCCCATAACCAAAAAATCTTGATTTTGAGTAACAAAATATTCTATGAAAATCTTCTTCGGCCAGACTATTTGGCATGACACAGCCTCTATAGTGCTTCTGGGCCAATAATGCAAAATACCCCAAAACATGAATTTCAGTAACCACAACTTGAAAAACCGACAAAAGAAGAGGTTTATTGTCATATGTACAGTAAGAAACACAGTGGTTTATACGTACAATGGAAAACTTACTTTGTCCGACTCCCTTAGGCAACACACAAAAAGAAGAATAGAATAAAGTTAAAAATATAAAAATAAAAATATAAAATATAACTAAAATATAACACATAACTTAAGTGCAGAACATTGTTCAAAAATTTGCATTTAACATTCAGGTTCTTGCCTGATTTGCAGGCGAGTCGGTTTGAGTATCTTGGAACTTCTGCAGCTAACAACTAACAGATCAACAGTTGTTATCAACCCTCCAGAAATATTCAGTTATTTTGTGCTTTGGGCCAGGAAAAGTCTTCCTCATTCGCCCTTTTGTTTTAGTTCATTTGTTTATTTGTTTGATGCCTCTTCACCATCTCTGGTGACTCTCTGTCGACCCTCTGTCATTTTCAGCATAAAATGAACTCTACCGCCACTGTCCCGAGAGTAAACACTAACCCTGACAAGCATCATGGCTTCTGCACCTTCCAGCCACTGTCCTCTACGGACGCTCTGGAGGAACGCCTTCTACTAGACTCCATTGCTTGGCCTGAAACTCCACTTTTGCCTGCTCCTCTTCCTCTGGAGCAGACCAGTAATCCTGCCAACAGCACCTTCACCATTCTCCCACCCGGGAAGGAGGGAGGACAGTGGCAGATAGGGGATCAGCTGAAGGTTATGATCAACATGTGTGATTTCCAGGGTCGTCCCAAGAAGTCTGGGGGAGATGTCTTACTTGCCCGGCTGCACAACCCAATGCTCGGCGCAGGTGTGGTTGGGCAAGTGGTGGATCATCTCAATGGCAGTTACTCTGCTGTGTTCTCTTTACTCTGGGAAGGAAGCACACAGGTTGAGGTGATGCTAAAAGCTGTTGAATAATGTGATTGTGTTGTAGGTGTGGATGTCATGATATTATTGGTTGAAACTGGTTAGCTCACGCTTATGTAAGCGTTTGTTTCCTGTAAAACATTTTGTTTTAACAGGAAGAAAAGAATATTGAATTTCAATAGAAATTCAGAAATTTTGTTTTTTGCCTTTTAAAAGGCATTTTTCATATCATCTAGAAATCCTTTCACTATTCCTCTTGTGTTATTGGATTTGGAAAGGCAACAAAACAGAGGTATCTATTTTACTACAGCCCCCAGTACACAACTTCAGCATGCAGAGAAATCCAAAGCTTTACACACCTGCCCTGCCTAGTTATTGTTACTAAGCTGTGATTAGACAATCGCTGTTCGGGGAAGGAGTTTATGGTCAGTTGTCCAGAAATGTTCATCCTAAAATCAATCTGGTTCACAGCTGAAACAAAGTGTGCAGCTTTAAGTAATAGCCTATTCACTACATCTGTCTTTACTGATATGACAGGTGACGCTGGTTCACCCTAGTGAGGCTGTCACAGTGCTGCGCAGGCTGACCAACGAACAGCCAGACAGGATTTACTTCCAGAGCCTCTTCCGCTCAGGCTCACTCTCACAAACTACCACCTGTAACGTCTGCCTACGTCCAACCCAGCAGCCACTGTGTAACTACACTGACCTCTATACAGGCGATCCTTGGTTCTGCTACAAGCCAAAGAACCTGAGCTGTAATGCAAGGATCAGCCACTCCAGGGCAGAATTCAAACAAAACCTCAAGGAGAAGGAGGAGAAGCTCTTTCAAAGGTGAGGTTGGAGCAGAGATACAAGTCAGAATTTCTGAGTGACTTCTAATGAATACTAGCGCTACCTATGTATCTCCTTGGTGGTGAGACATTTCGTTATGTGTACCTTTCTTAAGTGGGGTCAACATGAAAGTCTCCATTCGGGCTTCAGGACCTGCCAATGTCAAAGTGTTGCCAAAAAACAAAGGTAAACCCCAATCTTTACTACTGCATTTCAATATAATTCAAATTTCAATATGCAGAAAAAAACATTTTGAAAAGAGCGCTGGGAGCAGGGAGCATTAGGCTTAAAGTTAATAAACTTTTAGCACCAACTGTTAGCAGTGTCAAACTCAAGTAAGGATTGCACACAAGACGTTCATAAAATCACTTTATACCTGCTCTTATCCCCCAAACTGTTTACATGATTTTAGTTTGAAAGCAAGCAGGGAACATTTTCCATTTGCATGTACCAGTGTACCATTATAATACACAACAACTTAATAATTGCCGCCTTTCTGCTTTCAGGAAGGGGGAGTTAAAATAATGACCATTTTCATATTAGCTTTAGTCTGTATTTTTAGCAACTAGCAGGTACCATGGTTTCTTCCAGTTATGAAGACTAGTTTTCTACATTCATACCTCTGGTGACAAAAAATAGGTTGGTATATGTTAAGTCTTATAAGCTTTTGTTCTTACCACTGCAAGATTGTTATATACTGAATTTGATTCTCATAATATTGTGGACAGAATATTGCTTTAAATGATAAGGCTAATTGCATTGATTGTATTAACAAGTATTGCCTATTAAAGCATGAAATGGTTTATTTCTTTGTGTCATAGAGCTCCATTGTTGTTCAACAACAATTTCAAAGCCTAAAACTGTGTGACATGTTCTTGTATTACAGTGAACATGGGCACCATAGTTTAATTCAGTACAGTTCCACATACACTGTCCTCCTGATCACTGGTACCTTATGTGTATTAATCCTCTGCTGAAAATAGTCCAAATGCACTATGTACACCCATAAAAAATACAGCTGTTCCCAGCCTTTGAAAAACAACAATGAATTTGTCACTAAAATACGTCAACAGTAACAAACAGACTTGGTGCTGAGTGCCACAGACAGGTTAGGGAGAGACTTTGATTTGGGCCTTTTTATGAGACTTGTTGACAATAACAAAATGTAAAATAACGACATCATTAACTTCCTCTCAGGTCAACCAAAGCTGAATGTGAAGTCTGGACTCTCTGGCTATTACTATCAGGGCATGTGGCGATCACTAGGTGGCACCACAGTTCACCAATTCAACACCTCTGCCATCAGTCAGTGTCTGAAAGGCAAGGTGGTCCACCTGTATGGAGACTCCACCATCAGGCAGTGGTTTGAACACCTCAAAGAAACACTGCCAGGTAGCTGACCCAGAGATTTTTGATAAGGGTTTTGATTGTGTTCACACCGCAGGTTAATCTGTTCCCTTTATCATATTTTTTAGATCTTGAGGAGTTTAACCTTCACAGCCAGAAGCAAGTTGGACCTTTCATGGCCTTGGACTTCGCAAACAACATCTTGGTGACTTATCGCTGCCACGGTCCTCCCATCCGTTTTGTTGATGTCCCAACCAGTCAGTTGCGTTACATTGCCAATGAACTAGATGGCTTAATTGGAGGCACCAACACTGTTGTAGTTCTTGGCATCTGGTCTCACTTCAGCACTTTCCCCATTGAGGTCTACATCCGGCGACTGCAGAGCATCCGCAGGGCGGTGGTGCGGCTGCTGAACAGGGCTCCAGACACGCTAGTCGTCATCCGAACTGCAAACCTCAAAGCTTTGACGCTTTATGAGACACTAACCAACAGCGACTGGTACTCGCTGCAGCGTGACAAGGTGCTCAGAGCTGTGTTCAAAGGTCTGAATGTTCGTCTGGTGGACGCCTGGGAGATGACCCTGGCCCACTACCTGCCACACAGCCTCCACCCACAACCACCCATCATTAAGAATATGATTGATGTTCTCTTGTCCTATATATGCCCTCGAAATGGTGGCTAGGCGTGTGTTTGTTGGGGAGGGGACTGGGGATTCAAGTACACATGCTGGGAGATGCAGGAAATCACTTACTGTAGAAGCTTAAGTAGAAGCAGATGAAGGTAATATTGCCATGAAAAGCCCAGTCCATAATACACCTGTCCATGAAAATGCTCTTGGTTCTTGTATACAATAAACTGGAATTTGAAGACACTTGTCCAGCAGCTAACAGTCTACCTCTAAGAGTTAATCTGTGCTCTGCTAGTTGACTCCAAGGTATAATGAGGTCACTGTAGTTCACCATAGTTTATTTTAGGCATATTTAGACCTTGTTGTCAGGGTACTTAAACCCTGTGCGACAGATACCTTCATGGGAATGTAAATTTGTGGATCTGACAACCTACGGACTCATCCTGTCACTATAGAATCAACTTCTGGTGTGATTTAGACTTCTGTAATTTGACATTAGTAAACGTTAAGCTGTTAACACCTTAAACTTGAATAAGTCAATTGAAACATCGACTGTTTACTGCGCAAACATATTTACTTTAAAGGAATAGTTTGTCTCTTTCTGGAGAATTAGATGACTACATTGATACCACACTAAGTTTTGTACAGATCAGATATGGCATGTTACTGAGCTTTGGTGAATTAATTTTGTTACCTTTGAACAAAGCCAGGTGAGCTGGTTCCCCTGTTTCCAGTCTTTATGCTAAGCTAAGCTAACTGGCTGCTGGCTTAAGCTGTAAACAAAATAGTTCAGTACAAGTCAATAACTCATTAAAACACAATCAGAAATTATAGAGTCAGTATAGTAAGTATAGATAGTTGCAGGAAAATGACAATGTCCCACAATCCACTAGGCACTGTGCAGATGTTTAACAGCTTTAAGGTGATCCTTGGCAGCTCAAAGTTGGACAATATTATGTGACTTATAGGATATTTGGTGGTTACCGGTAAATACTTTACTTGAACTAGGGCCATGGAGGGCTACTGCAGGATATAAATATTGGATGCCAAACATAAGTCCACTGTCTGTGCTTATTTGCAGCTTGTATATGTTATTTACAGGATATGATTGAGTTATATGGATGTATTTACATTGAGCTGAGTAGATTTTTTTCCCTTGGATGTGTGAGCATTACTAGGGCCCATTCTTTCTTACAGTAAATTTAACAAAATCATGTAAATCTGTCTCAAAAGGGATGGTTTATACAGCAGATACTGTTGTTATCCTGCAGAGTTTCTTCTATTCTGTAGTCCATCAGTGGACCATAAAGGATTTTTTAATAACAGCATTTGAAATAATATCTTCCTTTACCTCAACAGCCATATATTTAAAAAAAATCTCTCAAGACATATGAATGTGTTTCATGGCTCCAAAAAACAAATATAAAGAATATTCTCATGATGTAATAATATATTTGCATGATGTCAACTTTGAGATCCAACACTGTTAAATTACACGTCATTTAAACAAGATACTTTTGTTAACAGAATTATAAATATTGTATGAAATGTTAACTGGCTTCTGCGTTTGGTTGTGGGTTGATGAAATTTCTTTCCAAGTTGTTTCACTTTTCTATATTTTTTATTTAATATATACTGTACCAAACCTATGGAATATATGTAAAAACCAACTGGCATGAACACATGGGGAGATGTTTGAAGATGAACTCACTGTTAAACAGCAATTAAAAACATTGGCAACGAAACACAAAACAAGGGTTCTGCAGACAAAATCCTTTAATGAATATGTATTTTATAATCAGGTGTTTCATAATCAAATAAATGCACTTTATGAATTGTTAGCCTTTACTGGCTATGCATCATTCTTTAAACCAATCATTCTCAGCAAAAACAGAAATAACAATGGACAATAGAAAAAGTTTTTAAAACGTGTCCAGCATGAACTGCTCTAATACTTGTCCTGCTGTGCTGACAGAAAAGCAAGCTGGAAGTGAAATGTGGGTTGGCTCCTCTCACACGGACTTGATCATCATTCTGGTGGCCTTCAGGGAATAGGGCGCCCTACCTTTCCAGGTATCCCAGTGGAGGCCTGACCCCCAGCCGATGTGGTTGCCAGCAGGATGCCATTCGCCGTGCAGACTGGCGGAGCCACAGCGGCTGTACCACCAACCACCACCATCTGCAGAGCTGCAGTCGTTTTCAGCAATGTCACCAAAGATGCATGGGGAGCAGCCATCATTGTCACGGTCGATGGTGCTGAAGCCGAAGCCATTCTGGTCGATGCCTGGATAGGAACCACGGATGGCATCACCTTTGGACAAAATTAGAAAGCAAGTTTCAGTTCAGAGGGTTCCTTTCCTAGCTTAGTTAGTAATGTCAGTTACACAGCTATATCCAACTCAAAGGTCCAGTGTGTAACATTTAGGAGGACCTATTGTCAGTAATGGAGTATAATATTCATGTACTGTATTAAACTCCAAATAAGTAAATACAGTTTCTGTAACAGAAACATTAATGACTCAGTCATATCTCATGGTATACCTTTATTTATACAACATTTTAAAGGAATAAAATATGGAATAATGTCTTTTTTTAATATTCAGTATAGTATAGTCATACCAAACCAATTATGCTGTAGCAGTTAAAACCCAGAATGCAATATGTTAAGGAGTGCACTGTGTTACTTGTTATTTCATCTTTTCAAAAATTACATATGTCTCTTTAAAGCTGCCACATGTATCAAGTATGGAACAACACATCAAGAAGCTAAACAAAATTGGATCTCAGAAGACTGTCAGCCACATAACAGGAAGAGGGTGCTGTTGTTTCAGAGAAAACAGAGCTAAAGCTGTCAGTCTGTGCTGACTGCAGACGAAGGACAGTATATGAAGAGGCAATGAGTCAAAGACAAAAATCACTTTCAGTGTGACTGAAGGAGCAAATGGAAAAAGTTTTATGGCAAATGTCTTGAGAGCCATACACACTAATAGTATTTTGGGGCTCTGATGAAAGCAACAAGTCACCTTTCGTGTGGATCCCAGGTTAAGTAGATTCCAAGGTATAAACAAACAGTGTGACTGTGTGCCATGACTGCGTGACAGGTCAATGAAATCATTCGCTTGGCACTCAGACTTATTTTGGTACTGTAAAACTACACTGAATAACTTTGATTTACATTGATTAAAATGAGCATAAATAAAAGTGAAATAAATGGGATGACATTTGTGTGTCTATACAAAGCAATGGGAAAAGGGGGACTGAGCTAAAAAAGCAGCCGTTAGAAAAGCCGGCATTACCTGCATTTCCTTTGTATTTCCCAACATGCAGTTTGAAAGCTGCCTTCTCACTGCCCAATCTGAAGTTTCTGTACTCTGCAAAAGCAGTTCCACCTTCGTGGTCCCACAGGTCGACCCTCAAAGTCCACTTCTTGATCTTGTTCTTGGTCAGAGATTGAACCTTCTTCAGACCGAGCCAGTGGTCATCTGAGGGAATCAGCAGAGCACAAGGAAAGGGTTTTTACCATTTTAAAAAGAGAAATAAACAAATTCTTTTTTTCAGAATGTATTCAAAACATTTTCCAAAGTTATAAAAAGCACATTAGGTTTCCAAGTGTTTGGCCCTTAACAAACCATGGTCATTGCTGCAGGATGCAGGGTTTTTAGGTTGCCTGCAGGTAAGAATTCAGGGAATTCAGCTGAAAGTTCAAGCTTGCAATTTCTGTGCAATTTTCCTCACTTTATAATGTTTTTAGGTTGCCTGCAGGTAAGAATTCAGGGAATTCAGCTGAAAGTTCAAGCTTGCAATTTCTGTGCAATTTTCCTCACTTTATAATGTAACATAGTTATAGAATCTAATTTAGTTTTAGATTGTGTAAACCTCTGACTCTTCGCCCCTAAGCATGTGGCAATGTCAATAAGGAAGAATAATCACAACCTTTACCGTAGTCAATTGAATCCCTAATCCCCTGTATGTTCTTTATTTAACTATATTTACAATCACTGTGTGTTTAGTAAGGCATGTCCACCCCTCAACCGGTAATACATTCTAATAAGTCATGAGTTATGACACACACAGCAGTTAAAAGTACGTACCAGTCAGGTTTCCAAAACCACCTTTATATGCTGCCCATTTCCTGGTGAAGGAAACTGCTCCTCCGCTGCGTCTCTGAAACACCGTCCAGCCTCCATCTGGCCGCATCTCACAGTACGCCTGAGCAGGCAGGAAACATATGATAAGAAAACTGAGTGCCAGGCTTTTCACACACAACCTAAAGACTGAGGCATGTCTACAGGGCTTTGGAAAATATTACATTATGGGTTAACATGGGTGTTCTAAATGATCTCTTCTCTTTACAAAATCTGTCATAATTAGGGAATGATTAGTTCATGAATATTTGTGAAACCATCATACGGACTACTTTCTTTATCTGAACCAGCAGATGAACAGCACAAAACTAGTAACAACTCATTAATTACTAATTACTTAAACCTAAACTACTGTTTTGTGGCCCCCTAAAGTAAAGTGGGCCATCACACTGAGTGGTTACTGAGTACTAAATCATTACTTAATGATTAGTGCAAGTTATTCAAATTGTCCCATCAGAAATAGTGCTATAAATGCCCTCTCCCATCTCTGTCATGGTATTCTTTCTTTCTTTTTTAGCAACATTTAACAATATGCAGTGATGATTGCTGGATAATATGAGATGATTCAGTCCACAGTAATCTTTCAAGACTGACACCTGCAAGCCGAGGAAGCAGTCATGCCTTTTAAACATAAAAGCAGCTGCCTTTATGGAAAACATCAACACTCCTATTACCCAGCAATCATCATTGCTAATTGGTATATGACAAAAATACCCCAAAAAGGTTGCTACTGACTACATTTATAGCAATCACTCTAACATCCAACATCCCAGATCTCAGTTTATGTTTACAATACTGCTATCTAGCAGTTGGGGTTTAAACACAAAAATTAATACAGTGTTTTTGTGAATCGATACAATATCACAAAATAAAATATTGCGATACAAGTTTTTTTTATATTTTCTTACTCCCCTAGAACTCAGTAAACACTCAGTCTGACGCAACACTTTAGGAGCCACAAAAACAAGTAATGAATGAGTCGTTTGTGGGCTGCTAAAGATAAAGAAAGTGGTCAGTATAACCATTTCACAGATATTCATGAACTAATCAAACAGGGCATATTTTGGGACAGTGAGTGACCTAGACACACACAGATACAAGCACACACACGCCTAAGGTCACCTTAAACGGGGTCTTGACTCCAGGAGGCTGGATTACATAAACCCCACTGGATGCTTGCGGTGAGAGAGCCTTAATCTGTGTGCAATCTGTTCCTGAGGTGAAGTTGAGAAGAGAAAAACAAGAGGATGGTCAACACACAGGGCTTTGTAAGGTCCATAATATGTACATTAGGCCTACGTAATAACACTGTAAGCTTGAGACGTACTTTGAGAAGAAACTCTTGTCGGTTGTTTCTAGTAAAAGCAAAGTAATGTGTTAATAAAGTCACAGATACAGACATTAGACATTGTTCTTGTCTGAAACATATTAAAGAAAACAGAGGGGGAAGGACATTAGGGAGAGAAGGAGAGGTTTATGTAGTTTTTATTTTTTACCTTAGCCTGTGCTGTGATGCTCAAAAGAAATGCCAAGAGCCCACAATACCCAACCAGACTCTTCATTTTGACCTGATTTTCAGAGTTTAAAAGTGACATGTTAGCTTTAAATATATTTGAAAACTTTTTCTAAAGAATATACTTATTTAATCTTTTCATCTACACTAAACAGGCACAACAGTGTTACTTGTTTAGTGAATGCTCAATGAAAACTGCAGTTTACAGCTCTACTCTTGTAAGGTGAACAACTTACAAATGAGAGACATTTCAGGCTTCTTTCACTTTTGCAGGACTAAAGGCTAAAATACTACCATTAATAGCCAATCATTTATTTCTCCAAGCACTTACCTTCGTGTTGGCTGAACCTTGTATCCCAGCTCAAATTCCACTACAGAAGCTACACCTTTTCCCACTGACTAAACTACAACACCTCCTCCATTTATAACAGACCCAGTCATCTGACGCCAAGTAACTTGCTGTTTTTACATAGTACGTCACACAGCTTTCACAACTGTGACATTTCAACACAGGTACAGTAAAATAAGCCCTCCTCTGTGTTTTTTTTTTATCTGTCTGGTGACACCACCCAAAGTAAACGACATTCCAGGGCTGACTCACACCAGAGCAGTGCTGCTGGAGTCTGATATTCATGCAGCATGGGATAGAACATATCTCCTTTGAAATTCGTAGTATAATGTAGAGATATTTATGTTTCCCAGAGGAGAACTGTTCCCTACATTTTCATGCAGTGCCACCCATACAGTAACCCTGACCCTGAACCCTGAGGTTGACATTTGTTGTTTTGAGTGAAATATCTCGTAACATCTCGACAAGTAACAAGTCCCTCCAGAAGTTACAATGTTGCATCTATTGACGCAAATTCAACCAATCCCTGTGAACTATCTGTGAACTTGCGATAACCACAACATTTCAGCTGATTTGTCATTTCCTGCACAAAACATTGAGCCATATGTCACCAGATTCCCTTCCTTGTTTTTATGTTTCTAGTTGTGAAGATGCAGATACATGCGATGCAAATGTCTCACATTTATCCAGTCCACGTGATTTTATACTCACTGGAACAATTCACCTTCAATTTTAAATGAATTACTTTAAAAAAGTAAACATTGTTTTTCAATTTTTAATTGATATAAACAATTTTATTGCAAAAAAATACCTAAAAGCGTTGCAACATGCATTGCGATTTTTTGATAAAGCTGCTGTGAAATCAGGCAGTTTAGGCCGCTACAGTCTCTCTCTCTCTCTCTCTCTCTCTCTCTCACACACACACACACACACACACACACACACACACACACAAAGAGATCATTGGAGTGGACATTTGGTACAGATGGTGGTTGTGACCCACATCAGCCTCAGCTATACTATGCAGTTCATCCTAATTATCATCATCATTATGTTTGCATGCTAACCTGCTAAACTAAGCTCATGGTGACATGAAGTTAATCAATAGAAAAAAGAAAACATTTTCAAAGGGCACATTATTGTGCAATGTCCATGTCTTATTTTATTGTCTTTCAGGTCTGATTACAACATAAGTTTAAAATCTATAAGTTAGACAGCTTCAGTGAATATCAGATTTTTCCTATCTAGTATATACATTTATATGTCTATAAATATATAGTACAAATTAGCAAATGTTAACAGCCTGACACGCTAAACTACAATGGTGAACATGGGGAACTTTACACCAGTTAAACATCAACCTGTCAGCATTGTCACTGTGAGCATGTTAGCATGCTGACTTTAGCATTGAGATTAATGCAGTTGTACACAAGTACAGCCTCACAGAGCTGCTAGCATGGCTGTAGACCGTACTCATTGGCAGCATTCAGTTTGAAAAGTATGTGTCACTGTCTTCTAATGGAGCATTTATAGCTGGGTGTTTAACAGAAACATTATTAATGAAAGATAGTATTAAATTATTTATATTTTTATATACTATATATATATATTCTGTCTTATTTTTGTCTTTTTTGCTATTCATCACATATCATTCCCCAGCACTGCCTCTGAGAGCCAAAAAACACTAAATTAAATATCTTTAACCGACCTGCACTTAGAATTCCTCAATTCGTTCTGCACTAGCTGACCGAGGAATGAGTTCGGGCAAACCCTCCACTGTACAAATAGTTACAGAGCAGTCATCCTCCTCCATCCCAAACCCTGGGTAGAGGGCCTCAGTGAAGGTGCTATAGAATGTGTGAAGATGGCTGAGGGCCCCAGAGGAGACACTGTAGAAGGACAGGGTGCCACCAGGCCAGTCTAGGAACACTCCGACCCTGTGGGAGCGAGACGGAGGTGCTGGTATTTCCACAGACTGGTGGTCGTGCTGAGCGCTGTAGTGATCCTCAGAGCAGTACAGACTCCAGGACTGCTCTGTGTACCCAAACCCACAGAGGTGAGAGCTCGCCCTCCGACGGATCCCCCTCACAGCCACAGCAACGTCCACCCAGCGTCCTCGCCACTCCACCTCCCAGTAGTGGCGCTGGGTAAGGTCTTGGTGACACAGCACCTGGGAGACACTCTCAAACCTGTCGGGGTGATCTGGGTACTGCTGTCGCTCCCTGACCCACGTCACCTGCTTTCCACTGTCGTACAGAAAGAGAGACCTGGCAGCTGTCTTTGAGTCCAACGTCAGTGCACATGCATCTGTATGAAACACAGATATGGCTATTTTAGTGTTCTTTTTAAATCATTTTTATTTCATAACCATGATGAGGTCCAAGGTCATATTAACTCAGCAGGGTGAAAATGAACTGTGGGCCCCTGTTGACCCCCTTTTCTCCCACTAATAAACACCTACTTACTGAAAGGAACACATTTAAAAAAAACCTCTATTCTGCCATCTGTTGGACAAATGACACTACAACATGTCCAGGCAAAAACAAGTGAATAGGCTGAAAACTTACAACATGCATATGACACATAATAAATAATAAAAAACAGAACCTTTTTAAGCAATTCAAATGTCACTTTAAAGGTTTGATTACATGTTGAAACACAGGAATTTGAAAATATAATACAGACACATTATTTTTTCATTCATTTGATTCAAACATGCTCCATTTAAAAGAGTCTATGTACTAAGATTCTATTTGGCAGGCATACATTTGGTAAATTGCAGAACTAAACTAAAAACTACAGAGCTTGTGTGTATCTGCCCGCATTACAATTAGTTGCTGTTTGATCAAAAGTGAAAGAAAACATTATTAATAGAAAATATATCACTTACAGTTTTTCAGTTTGGATTTCAAGTAGCACTTTGCATTATGGTCCACACTGTAGACAGGAGGGTAGATATGCAAATATGAATAATTAATACTCATTATGTTTCATAATCCTCTATATCTTTTGTAACCACAGTGTACATATAATATTGATTTTACATGTATGTAAAATATGATTGTACATGCTGCTTTCTTCTCTATGTTAGGATTTCTGTTCCCTGCTGTTTATCATGTGTGCAGCACATGTGCTTCTGCTCTGAAACAGACTCTCTGTGTGGCAATAAAGACCACTATAAAGGGAACTTGATCATTACATGAAACTTTAAACCATAAGACATGTTGCATATTTTAGGAAATACCCATCTCACATGGTATGATCAGGATTTAGGTTTTTCACTTTTACAGGAATTTTCTTGAATCTCTTTTCTAAGCACTTTTGGTCATTTGATCCTTCATAGGCTCATAGGAGGTGTGACTACATTTATGTCGCCTTTATCTTTTAATCATCTTCAAATGTATCATTATTATTTTTATTTCAACATTGACGAGCCTAGCGATAGCATATCTGAGTAAAAAAAGATGAAAGTTGACTGAGGCTTGTTCAACTGTTATTGGAGCACAGAGCCAAAAGGGGCGGGACTTAGGAAAGATCAGTTGTATCGTCGATACTGGAGAACAATAGCACCAGGAGCGATTAAGGTTAAATAAACAAGGACACTAAATAATTAGCTGCGACAGACAGTTTTACCTTATTTTTTCCAGTTTGCAGAGCGGGTCATTCCAATGAACGGAGATCAGCTTCACCCCAGTGTTCTGCAGGTAGTTGTAGCTTAGGTCCAGCTGCCTCAGGTGAGAAGGGTTGGAGCTCAGTGCTGAAGCCAAATAGGTGCAGCTTTTCTCTGTGACTCCACAGAACGACATCCTGTGTGGAGGCAGGGTATTCACATTCCAAGCAATATTTGCCTTTTAGTGTTATGTAGACATGAAAAAATAAATCCAAAACACACTTGTTACTTTTCTACCTTACATTTCTAGGTGTTTCTGTGTCTTTATTGTGCAAAATGTCTTTTTATTTTTATAGGATTATATGATTACATTATTATTATACTTGCACTTTGGCATATTAAGGAAGTAAAGATTGTTACTTTGAATGTAAAGCCAGCTTACCTTAAAATCTCCAGTTTACAGTCCGTACTTGCCAGTCCAGCAGAGAGAAGTTTCACTTCTGCGTCCTGCAGGTCGTTCCCACTCAGATCAAGGTCCTTCAGGTGAGATGTGTCGGAGCTCAGGACTGAGGCCAAATCAGCACAGCATTTCTGGAGATTGCACTCGTTTAACCTGCAGGTGAGAATATGTTTTGTCCCAGTCGGTTATGTGTATTAAAAAGGTAGTACACAACAAAGTTTAAAATGACCTTAACCTTGCACGAGTTAAACTGATCTTATAATTTTAGTGAAAATATCATGGCCTGTTAGTTGACAACAGACTGAAAGTGCATGAAGAACTGTGTCATTACACTGAGAAAATATTTGTTGTGTCTCCTGAACCTGTGTGAACTGACCTTAATGTCTCCAGTTTACAGTGTGGACTTCTCAATCCAGCACACAGCAGCTGTATGTCTGGACCCTGCAGGTTGTTTCCACTCAGGTCCAGCTCTCTGAGGTGGGCAGTGTCGGAGCTGAGAGCTGAGCCAATGTGATGGCAGCATTTCTCTGTAAGGCCGCACCAGCTGAGCCTGACAAAAGGAAGACAACTTTAAATGAAGGTACAGCACACTATATGTGTAGTGATGATAAACTCGATTTTCACAAAAAGACTCCAGATATGGCTGTAGATTAGAAGTAAAAACTGTGTTGTAATTATTTAGTTGAATATTCCAATTGATGTATATTATATTAGGCCATTAAATACACGTGGGGGCAGCGCAACAAGCTCTAAACATAACATTCCCATCATCTTTTAAACTTGATATGGCCAACATGAGCAAACAGTTGCCAGTTTCTATCTACATGGTGTATGTAAATCCAATATTAATTCAACTAGCAAAGCTGAAGGTTAAGTTAGGATAGGATAGGTAACTTCCTCAGGAGTTGGTGCAGACAAAACAGAGCTGAAAGGCCAGTAAATATTACGCTCTGTTGGGGGGGCAGATATTTGATTCACTTCACAGAAATAACAAAATCAGGGATAGTATCAAATTAAAATGCCACATGTAAGATATCTTTTACACTGAAGAAACTATGAGACTGCCACAGTAACCTTTCAGAGGATTGTACTTACCATAGCGTTTCCAGTCTACAGTCTGGACTCCTCAGCCCAGCAGTAAGCAGGGATACACCAGAATCTGTCAGGCTGTTGTTGCTCAGGTCAAGAGTTTTCAGGTGAGATGTGCCTGAACTCAAAACTGTAGCCAAATCTGCACAGGAATTCTCTTTCAGCTTGCACTGATTCAACCTGCAAACAAGTACAGATTCATTTTGTTGAAAGCATTCACTGTGATTAAATTCAAGCTTAAGCAAGTGATTTATGTTCGTCAGCAATAAGGTCTTACCTCAATGTTTCTAGTTTGCAGTGTTGGCTCTGCAGTCCCACACACAGAGCCTTCACTCCTGCTTCCCGGAGATCATTAGCACTCAGGTCCAGTTCTTTGAGGTCGGTAGACTCTGTGCTAAGAGCAAGAGCCAGTACTTCACAGCAATCTCCTTCCAGTTTACACTTATGTAGTCTAAAAAAAGGGAAAATAGAAAACTATTTTAATGTTCTGAACTGAAAAATGGCGTGGATTTTGTATAATTCAGTAGCAATAATGACAATAAACAGCAGTAAACCTAAACCACAAGTCCTTCAATCAGGGTTGCATGGAGCATGTTTCTAAAAGACTGCTAACCGTTATTACAGACCTTAAACTTTTCAGTTTACAATGTGGACTTCCAAATCCAACAGAAAGTAGCTTCACTCCTGAATCCCTTAGTTGGTTGTCACTCAGGTCCAGCTCTGTCAGGTGTGACGAGGTCGAGCTCAATGCGGAGGCCAAATCTTTACAACAGTTCTCCGTAAGGTTGCAGTGATTTAGCCTTGAAAAATGATAAATAAACAACACATTTTTCTTTTTTTTCATTATGGGATGAAAACATTCTCAGGCCAAGGTCAAATAAGCTTGAGGCTGAGAGAGCAACTAAAATCAGCCTGCAAGAGGAACACTATTGTCATGTGGCTAAACTCACAGAGCACGTGTGGAGGAAGTAATGACGGTCAGCAGCTTCACTACCCCTTCTTCTGATCTTATGTACTTCTTCAAGTCAAACTCCTCCTCTGTTGCCTCTGATGTCATCAGTTCGAAAGTGAGAGCGGACCACTGGACTGGAGACAGCTTTTTGGCTGCAAGCTTCCCAGAACTCACAAAGCTCTGGACCTCCTCCACCAAAGACTCCTCTTTGAGCTCACTCAGGCAGTGAAAGAGGTTGAGTTTGGCCTCTGGTTCCTCTTTTATCTTTTCCTTGATAAACTGGATGGTTCTCATCACATCTTCCTCTTCTTCTGCTTCCAAATGCAGTATTCTACCCAGGAGCTCCTGGTTTGACTTCAGCGATAGTCCTAGGAGAAAGCGAAGGAAGAGGTCCCAGCGGCCGTCTGGACTCTCCAAGGCCTTTTCAATGGCAGTCTTGTGAAAACTGAATACAGACTTGGGGAGCCATCTTGCAGACATCCTTTTTAAGTACCCAAGAAGAACATTCTCCTTTCTTTGCATGTAGCAGTGATGAGCGTACACAGCTGCCAGAAACTCCTGGATAGTTAAATGTACAAAGCTAAAAACTTCTCTCTTCCTTCTGCCCTCCACCACGAAGACCTCTGTGCAAACTCCTGAGTAGATGGTTGCCTCTTTGACATCCATGCCGCACTCTTTCAAGTCAGCCTCATAGAAGATCAGTTTTCCTTTCTCCAATTGACGGAATGCCAGCTCTGCCAGCTTCAAAACAACATTATCGCTTTTCATTGGATAGTGCCCTTCTAGCATCCGGTCTGTCTGACAAAGAAGGAGATATGCGTACATCTCTGTCAGGGTGGAGGGCATGCCTCCTATCATATTTTCGCGTAACATTTTTTTCATTACAGTGACTGTGATCCAGCAGAAAACTGGAATCTGACACATGATGTAGAGGCTTCTTGATGACTTCACATGGTTAATGACCCTGATGGCGAGGTTATCATCACACAAATGCCTCTTAAAGTATTCCTCCTTCTGTTCATTAGCGAAACCCCTCACCTCCGTCCACTGGTGGATGTGCTTTCGAGGGATCCGGCTAGCTGCCGCAGGTCTGGACGTGATCCAGATGAGTCCGTTTCCGAGCAGATCTCCCGTGATGAGGTTTGTGATCAGTACATCGAGCGAGGCTGGCTCTGTCTCATCTCTCAAGACCTTTTTGTGCTTGAAGTTCAAGGGGAGGAGAGTCTCATCCAGGCCATCAAAGATGAAAAGGACTTTGCATCCTGTTCCCAGCGTCTCAAGTGGTTTCATCTCAGGGAAGAACTGATGGAGCAGCTGCATCAGACTGCAGTCCTTCTCACCTATGTTGGGATTCAGTTCACGGAAAGGAAGTGGGAAGACAAAGGTAATGTCCTGGTTTTCTTCTCCTTCTGCCCAGCTCAGGGTAAATTTCTGTGCACAGACAGTTTTACCTGCTCCAGGTATACCCTGGGTAAGCACAGTTCGGATCCGCTTCTCTTGGTTGGGCTTGGGTTTGAAAATGTTGCTAACATTAATGGAGGTTTCTTCTGTCATAACATGATTGGACCTCTGCTGTCTGACCTCATGCTCCTTGCTGAAGCCTCCCCAGGCTCCTTCAATAACGTGTAGCTTGGTGTAGATTTTGTTCAGGTAGACGGTATCTCCTTCATCTGCATTCCCCTCGTAAATGTTTTGGTACTTTTCCTTCAGGGTGGATTTCAGTTTTTCTTGGATTGGATGGTGGTCAATTTCTGTTAATAAATAAAAAAACTAGTAGTTTAACCTTTAATCTTGTGTCTGTACATATACAGTGCATATGAAAAGTATTCACAGTGCTTCACTTTTTCCACATTTTGTTATGTTACAGCCTTATTCCAAAATGGATTCAATTCATTTTTTTCCTCAAAATTCTACACATAATACCCCATATTGACAACTTAAAAAAAAGTTTGTTGGAAATTTTTGCAAATTTCTTAAAAATAAAAAACGAAGAAATCACTTGTACATAAGTATTCACAGCTTTTGCGATCAAGCTCAAATTGAGCTCAGGTGCATTCTGTTTCCACTGATCATCCATGAGATGTTTCTGCAGCTTAATTGGAGTCCACCTGTGGTAAATTGAGTTGATTGGACATGATTTGGAAAGGCACACACCTGTCTATATAACGTCCCACAGTTAACAGTACATCTCTGCAGACCTCTGAGACAGGATTGTCTCGAGGCAAAGATCTGGGGAAGGGTACAGAAATAGTTCTGCTGCTTTAAAGGTCCCAATGAGCACAGTGGCCTCCATCATCCGTAAATGGAAGAAGTTTGGAACCACCAAGACTCTTCCTAGAGTTGGCCGTCCCTCTAAACTGAGTGATCGGGGGAGAAGGGCTTTAGTTAGGGAGGTGACCAATAACCCAATGGTCACCCTGACAGAGCTCCGGGGTTCCTCTGTGGAGAGAGGAGAACCTTCCAGAAGGACGACCATCACTGCAGCACTCCACCAATCAGGCCTGTATGGTAGAGTGGGCAGACGGAAGCCACTCCTTTTAAAAAAAAAAAAAGGCACATAGCAGCCTGCCTGGAGTTTGCCAAAAGGCACCTGAAAAACTCTCAGACCATGAGAAACAAAATTCTCTGGTCTGATGAGACAAAGATCGAACTGGAAGAAAACCTGCTCCAGAGCGCTCTTGACCTCAGACTGGGGCGACGGTTCATCTTTCAACAGGACAACGACCCTAAGCAGACAGCCAAGATATCGAAGGAGTGGCTTCAGGACAACTCTGTGAATGTCCTAGAGTGGCCCAGCCAGAGCCCAGACTTGAATCCCATTGAACATCTCTGGAGGGATCTGAAAATGGTTGTGCAACAACGCTCCCCATCCAACCTGATGGAGCTCGAGAGGTTCTGTAAAGAGGAATGGGCGAAACTAGCCAAAGATAGGTGTGCCAAGCTTGTGGCTTCATATTCCAAAAGACTTGAGGTTGTAATTTCTGCCAAAGGTGCCACAACAAAGTATCGAGCAAAGGCTGTGAATACTTATGTACATATTATATTTTCATTCTTTATTTCTAATAAATTTGCAAACTTCATGTTGTCATTATGGGGTATTGTGAGTAGACTTTTGAGGAAAAAAATGAACTGAATCCATTTTGGAATAAGGCTGTAACATAATGAAATGTGGAAAAAGTGAAGCGCTTTCCGTATGCACTGTATTTATGAGTTTGAACTTGTTTGAACCTGACCATGTGTGGGTATCTTTTATCTTACCTTTGCTTACTTGATTGCTTGGAACTGAAAAAGAAACAGAAGAATTAGCTGTTAAGTGGCCAAGTTATTAGTTTACAAACTAAACAGTCAAATTTTGTCCTACTTTTTAACATGTTTTACCTTCATCGTACTTCTTCTTTAGTGTTTCAGCCCACAGTTTGAGTTTCATCCTCATCAGTATATCCACAGTGGCTGTAACAGCACCGTCATAGCCATATGTTTGAACCAAAAGGTTCACAGTGCCTGGCCTATCCACCCCTTCGACCCGAGACTTGGGAATATGTGAGAATCCTTCAAGAACATTACTGTAAAGGAACCACTGGAAAGTCCTCAGTTCTTTATCAACCAGCTCCTCCAAAGTGCTCAAGAGTAGCTCTGGGACAGAAGCCATATCTGTTCTCCAAGTTAGTCATGTGATCAACCAGTCCTGCTGTTCCGTGTCCATTCTCTGGCAGAAATAAGGTTCAAGTGCAGCAACAGTTTCAGTTTTGAACTCATGTAGGCTGGCGTTGCTGCCGTCATCTCACTCCTCAATTCCTGCTGACTTCATTGAATCTTTACAGGCATGCAATCAGGATAAAGAGCACCGTCACTGCACATAAACATCCCTGTTCTACAGTAAAGGCATTGTTCCTGCCCGTTTTATCAGCTTTTGCATGCACGTGTTTACATACCATACAGAAACAAGTCGAGTCTTGTCAAGTGGGTGATAAGTGGGTATGGGGGCTGCTTATGAAAAGCATAATAGAGAAGTAAAAGAACTATGAGGTTGAGAGAAGGGACACTGTGCAATTCACAAACATAATTAACTAGTTACTAGTAACAAGTAAATTAATTAGTAACATCCACAGTAAAGTTCTTGTTTCGGTGTCCATGTAAACCAAAATAGAAAAAATGTGCATAACCCTCACCATGAGATGCAGAAGTGTGACACTGCAGCAATCTTTGCATGTCTTATTGATGGGCTGGTATAGATATACTGTAGCAGGCTATTGTACAATGTTTCCAGTATGTAGGCATAGCCCAGTGTTTACTCTCCCGCAGTGCAAAGTCAGTAAATACCAACACACGTTTCCTTAAAGGTGCAATATTTAAGAATGTAAACTATATTCATTTGTATTGCCAATGTGTGAATGGATTGTAATGCAACTTAAAAAATGCATTGGATTGTTTGGTAACGCAGATAAATTGCTACTTAGCTAACCTAATAAAATACTGTCTTCAGTGGACTCCCAGGGCTGATCTGGTTGGTATATTGGCTGGCTTTCTGGATCGATGCAGTGTGGCTGGGTTGCAGCTGGCTTCAGCGTCGGGCCAGTTTTTTTTTTTTTTTTGCCATTGTAATAGGGAGAGATTTGGGGAGGCTATAAAAGAATATAAGGTGTACTTGTTTAATTTCAATAAAGTGGATCATATTATTATGTATTTGTCAGTCATCTGGTAAATTTATTCGACTTTATTCAGCACCATGCACTGTTCATACAGTCCAGTGCAGGACTAAGTTAGCATGTATCTTGTGGGGACTACATATCATTTTACAAAAACATATCTATTGAGATTTACATTCACCTTCTTTATATAGTTGTCAACAGTAGATTTGTGAAAAAGAATCCTGCTGGAGGGCCCATGGACCACTATATTTGCCTAAACCACTCCTCGATAAGATTACCTATTCAGGACAAAATAAGCTGTAAATCATCACAGTAAATGAACACACTAAATGATAAATAATGATAACAACACATGATCTTTTATTTCAAACTTTGAGAAACTGTCATTTCTATTCTATCTACAGTTCAATTATGGTACACATTGTGAACTGCTCATATATGACACTACTGTACTGACATGTTGACCTTATAAGTGCACTGTCTGTAAATAATTAATATCAGTGTGTTCCTGGTGTTTCAGACCCAGACAGGTCATTGTTGACTGGTCATCTGAGCCATCATACTTCATCAGCAAGTTCATTGAGCATATATTTTGAATATCATCACCAAATTGTCTGTATTTGTGCTGGTGTATTACTCTTAGCTTTGAACTCTGCAATAAAAGCATTATTATGACACAAACATAATAATGACCTATGACCATACTGATGAACACTGGAACACACTGGTTATATATCAACCACCCTTCAGGAAGTAGGAAAGAAGTCTGCATTGGAAGTGGAGAACAGGAGCAGTATTAACAGGACTAGCTACCCACATCTTGTTTGACATCTTGCCCTGAAAACTAAGGCCTATGTGGTCCACCATACAGACCTCTTTACTTCACCTGTCTGGGAGGCTCTAAGAGGATCAGGTGATACAAATTCTTTGTGCCCAGGCAGGAGGTTTCATGTCATAGGCAACAGTCAGTTCACTGGCATTAGGTCCATCTGAAGGCTCCAGCTCAAATGCATCAGAATATGGTTTCTCCAGAACTTTGAGGACCCTGTTGACCTGCAGGACAAGATAAGATGACTACTATTAATCATTGAGGCAAAGAAAATGATTTAAACTCTCTAAAGCAAATCTAATAAAAATACATAAGACAACATAGCTCTTCACAGAGTCCATTTTCATCTATGAAAGCAAGTTTGTCTCATCTAATGGCCGACTCAGATTAATACTTATATCCACAACTTTGTCCTCTCTCTGATAGCAAACAAGAATACAACAAAATGATAAGTCATATGATAATAACAATAACAATAAAGAATAAAAAACCCTGGGACACACTAGTGAACTTCTTTTAGACCAGCTTTAATGGATGTGGATGTCCCAATGGAGACTGTGACAAAGAAAGAACAAATGTTTATATCCTGACCTCAGAGAAGTCTCCCTTTTCTGCAGCCTGAATTGCATTCTGGGCGATGTAGTTGCGTAGGACAATGCGAGGGTTGGTGCTGTTCATGAGGCTCAGCCTCTCCTTTTTGATGAGAGACAAGTCCACTGTGCCATCATACTCCCTGGCTAAACGCCTCCTGGTATTTCAGTGCATAGAAATAGTTTGAAAGACTTGAAAATGTGTTGATTTGTCCCATTCAGAAATCTAATACATGTCCATTTATAAAAATGTCATGTATGTATGTATGTAGCCTGGTTTAAATGTTTAAATGCCATATATGTCCATATTCAGAATTCGTACAATTTCATATGTGGCTATATGGTATACCATTATATTTATAAAATGTATTATATGTATATGAAGTCAAATGTGTCAGTTTTATCTATATAATTTTATTTATCTATAATAAAATGGTACAGAATATCATTATTATTTGGCATCATTGTGGGTCAGTAAAACCAAAACAACTAGCTGAAAGACACTAAACTGCTCTGTAGATCTTAGGGGAACTACAGAGTCTTACTTTTTCTCACCTGTATCGGCTAACCCAGCGTATCCAGTCATCACGCTGCTTTCTCTTCAGTTCATCCTGATCTGTCTCGAGCAGCTCCTTTAGCCGTCCCATCCGTTCCAGTTGCTGGGAAACACCTGGTGTGTCTGCCACCATCCCAAACATAACTGGGTTGGTCTGTGCCATGGACAGAATCATCGCCAATTCACTAGAAATGAAGAAAATGCTATAAGTGAAGGGGTAAAAGGTAAATGCTTGATGTTGACCACAAATCTATCTATATTCCTACATGATGTTCCATGATGTATGCCTGCTGTCTCCACAGGAATCCTACTAAATGCTATAAAACACACATTTAACTTACATATTGTCTCGGAAAGCTTTATCCCCAAAATGCTAGCATATAAAAGGAAAAACAAATTAGATGACAGGAGAGATTTAGTCATTTAAAACCAGTACTCTGCTCAGTTAGGAAGAAAGGCACATTTATGGGAGTATATGGTGGGGCAGCCTGAGAGTTTATGTTCTCATTGTAGCCGCTCTATGAAGAAGCACATGTATCCATCCACCATACACTCCCTCACCGGTCCTTCATAGTTGGCTTATTAGCCACCTTTAGCTCCTCAATAGAGGCACACTGCTCAAGGATGAGGTCCACTACTTGTCCCACTGTGGCCCTCTCACTGTGGCCCTCCTCAGGCCAGGGGACACGGCTCAGCAGACGGAAGGTGTTGGTGAAATCTGCACCTGGAAAGACATTATGTTACAGTACTGTGACAATGTTGCAAAAGCATTAACTAGAAAAAGTAAATATACTGAAGGCTCAGTCACATGTTCATGTATTCCTATGAAATGCTAAATGTACCAATATTTAAAGTTTTTCGACATGTCCAACTTCCTTCCATAAGTCTTTGTACCAGTGTCGTGCATGAGACGCAGCAGGTCTGATATGAGCTCTCTGTCCTCTGCCTCCTCTTTCCTCACAAGGCCCAGCTTTTTCCTCATGATACACAGGTAGAAGGCTTCGTATGTGGGTGTGAATTCATCCAGGACAGCCCCTGCCTGAGCCACATCCAGCTCAGAGCCCAACGCCTCCGCCAGGCGAGCCAGGTTCCAGCGGCACACAGACGGCTGGGCTTGGTATGAGTAGCGCCCTTTTTTGTCCGAAGTGTTGCACACGAAATCTGGATCAAATCTGTTTTGTTTAACCTCAATTAGTGGAACAGAAGTAGCAGTTTTGTAAGTAATCTAACTGGCAAGAAACTCAGGTCAAATGCTTTCTGCAGCCTACCTGTCCATGAAACCAAAGGGGCCATAATCCAGAGTAAGACCCAAGATGCTCATGTTGTCTGTGTTAAGGACGCCATGGCAAAAACCAACACACTGCCACTGGGCCACTAGTTTAGCAGTTCGCATCATCACCTGGGGATGAACAAGTCAAATATTTATGATCAAAATGTAAAAACGTCAGCATGCAATGAACCAGTCTGAAGGTAGATTAAACCATTTGTCATTATTAGCACAGAGCCAATGACTTTATGACACTCACCTCTCTGAAAAAAGCCATATTCCTGTTTTTCCGGTTGCTGTGAGTCTGCTGGATGCAAGGATAAAAAGTCTCAATGACATAATCCAGCAGCTGAGCGCGGATGTCATGCCGCCCTGCACTAGGACCCTGCAGGCCTGAGAAATCATCGCGGCCCAAAAAGATCTCAAAAGATCCAAATCTAAAACAAAAGGTAGAAGAGACATTATAAAATGTCCATATTTATCCAGAGCGGCACTATGACTATGTTCTTTTGTGTGCTGATAAAAGTCTGAAAACACTTTAAAGGTTATATGAAATTTAAAACATTAACATAACCGGTCTGGCAGTGCGTGCATGTGAGTCCCTCCATTTCCAGCTCAGTAGAGCGACTGTTTTATCACCTTTCTCGGTGAATGAAGGATTTATTTTGACCAAAGCAGAGATGGTGATTGTTGGAATAGTGGACAAAGATGGTTTTGGTGAGTTTTATTTTGTTTCTGTCCACTTTGAATGACAGTGTTACAATGATATGCCAGTTAAAATGAATGTTTTTGTCTATGAAGTCTGAATGTGAACTTATTACAGCTGTTTCTTTCTTTCTTTAAGTATATTTTTTGGGGCTTTTATTGCCTTTATTATAGTGACAGCTGAAGACAGACAGGAAAGGGGGTCAGAGAGGGGGGATGACATGCAGCAAAGGGCCGCAGGTCGGATTCGAACCCTGGGCCGCTGCAGAAAGGACTGAGGCCCAGTACATGGGTTGCCAGCTCTACCCACTGAGCTAACCAGGCGCCCTACTACAGCTGTTTCTGGTTAAACAAAAGGTCTATCTCTGTAGGAATCCTTTCCATAATGTTGTCTCTCACTTAATCTGAGCCAGTCAGTGGCAAAACATTTGTACCCTAGGATTAACTAACATTACATGGAAGGCACATAATTCGGCAAAATAAAGATTTATTTTGACCAAACCAGCACACCACAAGTGGGTTTTGGTGAGTTTTATTTAGTTTCAGTCCAGTTTTAAGTGTGTTTTATAGTTATCTGCTAGTTAAAATTGCTGGTTTTGTCAATGGAGTCTGGTTGGCTGTAATGCCCATTGTTAACCTTTAAATTATTCTTACCTGATGAAGGAAGGGGCTAGCCGCAGGACGACGGAGCAGCGCTCGGGAACGCGTCTGCCACTGTTGAGTGGATCTCTGCTGACATAGAGGTCAGAGGTCACAAGGGAGGCGGCACGGGTGCTGGGTATCCCCAGGGCGGCCATGGCCTCGCTGCACAGGAACTCTCTGATGCTGGAGCGAAGCACTTTCCTGCCATCACCATCTCTGAGGAAATTGATCCAACGCAATATTCATATGATGCTGTTTGTTCGTATTTGGACCTTCAATTAATGACAGTTGACATGTGACTTCACAACAAAATCACTCAAAGTCCACTTACTGCCCTTTTCCATTGCTTTCAACCACATTTCACAGTATACCTCAGTGGGTGGAGTTTGCTCACTGAGCAATGCACGGGGAAAGAAAAGTTGAACTCGGTTTTTCTAGAGCTTTAAGTGACAAGTGAACAAATTACATCCACTATGACCATGAGAAGTGATGAAAGCTCAGGAAATGCCTGTAAGTGGAGCTTTGTTTAATGTAAAGCTGCTGTTTCAAATGTCAAGAATAGCCTTTTAGACACAATGCCAGCAATGTACCAGGTTACACTTTCCCTCTAATTTTTATGGCCTGCACATGTAAAACAGGACCAAGTGTTCAGCCATGCAATATGTCAGACAGCTGTGCCAGTTCACTGCCACACATAGTCCACCTATTGCAGGCAGCTGTAGAGTTCAAATTAGAGATTGTGATTGTGACATGGAGTGAGACGGGTGAGATATGCTGTATGATTAAATGTAGAAACTGTCTCAAATATCTACTTTACTTTTTGTGTTCAACAGACCAACACAGCTGGTTAAACTCTCTCCCTTCCTCTTCACCCTGTACACATCTGACTTCCAGTATAACTCCGGGCTCTGCCACATGCAGAAATACTCGGACGATACTGCGATAGTTGGCTGTATCAAGGATGGAAGGAAGGGGGAGTACAGGAGCCTGGTCGAGGACTTTGTGAGGTGGTGTGGGTCCAACCATCTGCAGCTGAGCACCTCCAAGACCAAGGAGATGGTGTTGGACTTCAGAAGGAAGAAACCACATCTCCAACCCGTGTCCATCATGGGGGTTGATGTGGAGGTGGTCAGGACCTATAAATATCTGGGGCTGCAGCTGGATGACAAGCTGGACTGGACAGCAAATATGGACACTTTACACAGATAAGGGCAGAGCCGTGTGTAGTTCCTGAGAAGGCTGGGGTCCTTCAACATCTGTAAAAAACTGCTGCAGATGTTTTACCAGTCCGTGGTGGCCACCGTGCTCTTTTATGCTGTGGTTTGCTGGGGAGGAAGCAGCAAGAGGAGAGACGCCGGTCGACTGGACAGACTGGTGAGGAGAGCCGGCTCAGTGGTGGGCACAGAGCTGGACTCTCTGGTGACAGTGGCAGAGAGAAGGACCCTGGACAAACTGCTGTCCATACACCTTCACCAGGCAGAGGAGTGTGTTCAGTGGCAGACTGCTGTCCCAGTCCAGCTCCACCAACAGACTCAAAAACTCTTTCGTCCCCCTGGCCATCAGACTGTACAACAGCTCTCAGTAAAGGCAGGGAGGACAATAGATAATAGACAATAGACAATCTCTACCTTCATTTGCACTCCATCTAAACTAATGTGCTGGTTCTACTGAGCACACACAACTGTTAAGCAATGGGGGGGATACATTTGATGTGTGCCAAGCAGTTAAGCTCTTAAGCAGCTCTCCTTGGGTTAATGCATTCACATGCCTCTGGCGAGCTTATGAAAGACTGTGTCACCTGCTGACAATATCTTATTCTCATATTGAGAAAACTTCCTCCAACATCATTTTGTCCCACACCTATAACCTATATATAACCTGACCCTGAGGTGGATGATATGATGGTTAAACTTCTCCAAACGTGTTGTAAGATGGCAAGAATTACCTGGAGTAAGGTGTGACTCCTGCTCCTTTCACCTGAACCTCCCATCGCCCGTGGGTGCCCGACTCCACCTCCCCCAGGTACATCACCGCTCCATCTCCCAGCTGTCCCGCAAACAGGCCGAACTGGTGCCCGCAGTAACAGTGCGCAGCCGGCTCGGAGCCCGGCAGCAGCCTGGAGCCGCTCAAATACTCCGGGCCCAGGGGATTACTCAGCACGTCCTGCACCGTCAGGTCCAGCAGAGCCAGCGCTGACTGGGACTGGGCCACGAAGGTCGGACGTACCAGCGGCTGAAGAGCCCGAATTCGGGAGAAACATGCCGCTGGTACCGTCCGACACCCGGGCTCCTTTGAGTCATCCACCGGCAGCTTATTCAGCGCGGTGTTGTTGAAAGGTAAGCGCTCCAGAGCCGTGGACCCGCACTGAGAGGACTCCATGAGGACTGAAGTTTAACACGACCCGGTCTTAACCAGGGCTGCTGTGTGGTGGCGTTAGAGGTATTGTACGGCACCCCGTGTGTGGTACTTTGTATTGCGTAAGGCAGAGTTCAGAGGCACAAAACAGGTCAAATTTAAGCCTAAACAAGTGAAAAAGCATTAAGCAGAATTCAAATAGAAGAATACATTGTCCATGAATCAAAATCATATGCCATCAGAAAAAACACCAAAAGGCTTTAAAACAGAAAAAAGACTGAAAAACAGTCCCAAATAGCTTGCAGGAAAAAGAAACACCAAACATATATTAATATTTCTAGGTAGGGAAACATTAGAAAGAGCATAGTTGAACATGTTTTGGCAGTAATGACAAAGGATCTCCAGCAGGTGGCAGTAACACACAACAAGAAAACATGTCACCTGCCGTAAAATCTAGGTAGAGAAGAAGAAATATCTGACAACAAATCAGTTGCACCATGTAATATAACTCCTTTTGACTGTTTGTAGGTCTAACTGAAGTGGTTATCTTATTTAGATTATACGTTTTGTACTTACGGTTGCATAGCCACCTTAGCGCCATCTTTGTCATCCTGTAACTATTAGTTAATGCTAGTCAACTGTGGCTTAATGCTAACGTTAGCTATCAGGCTAACGTCGGCTAGGATAACCGCAGCTAATCAAAAAACACCGGCGTGAGAAGATGGCCTCGGGTGTCTTCACGGCCTTGTCCAAAGGTTTGTTTGCTTTGAAAAGAAAAACCATTGAAAGTGAATTTGTGGGGAAACTTTGTGTTGGCAGTAACGTTAGTTCTGCTAGCGTCTACTTTTATCAGTGCTTCTACTTCTAAGTTAGCTTAAAGCTAATTTATTGGCCTTAGCTTCGCATAGTAACGTTATTTTGTCGTGTTTTTGTTATGCATAGCAAATTATTCGGAGTGTTGTATGTGCAGACTGTACAAGCACGACTAAAGTATAGCTAACTAGGTTTTCAGCAACATTGTTGTTGTTGAACATGCACTCAGTGGTTCTAGTAAGGTTGCATTCAAAACACATCACTGTTTCCTATAGCTGATAAACAAAATCCCTCTGTAAACAAGAGCCTCTCAGTGAACGTGTATTAGATAGGAGCAGTATAGTGCTGTTAACCTTTAATGTCCTCACATTGGTGGGGTTTTATGTTGTGAATCATTAAGTTAAATGAAAACCAGTTACTTCACTACACCAGTCCCAGAATGACTTCAGGAATAATGGGAGAGAGTACAGCCCCAGGTTGACTCCCCATCATCGTTCAGTCCAATGCTGATCATTAACCTGGCGTGTGACTTTTCTCTGTGTGGACAGATAACACACCAGACTAGTTGATTTAGGATCGATGTGGCAGAGAGGTCATTCCCTTTCAGCCTGAGTGCTATTCTATTTTGCAGGTGATCCCTTACCTCTGGCGTCGCTGCGCCTCCTTGTCCCTCCTCTCCAGCTTATGACAACCTCCATGTGGCAGGTTCTGAAGACACAAGATATCATGAACTACTGGAAGGTGGCAGAGTTCGTCTCTTTGGTGATGGACATGGTCCCAGAGCTGCTAATGTATAAGCACAGGATGCAACTTAACCTGGGATTAAGAGCCAGGGTGGGTACCAGTGGAGGACACAAGGCATTCATGGCTAAGCTACGATGCAGGCAAAGATAGACAGCTAAATGTGTGAACTATATTGTGAACACATTAGTATTTTGGTGCGATGTTTATGTTTTTCTCCTCATCAGTATATTCTAGAGTTGTGTCGAAGTGAACAGCGCGTGGAACCTGATTTCATCCTGTCTCATCTGGAGAAGATGAAACCCACCCTGGTGGATGTAAGTGTGTGCAGTAGATTAGTTGATTTCATTTCACACACCAATTCTAAAATTCTGACTCTTAGATCAATATGTGTAAACATGCTCCCATTGGCTGGGCAATGTGCTTATGAAAGCAGTTATCCAGTATTGTATTTGTAATATGGGTACACTGTATGTTCATATTACAGATAAAAGAATCAGAAGAGGAAGTAGCAGTTAACTTTCTTGAGCTGATCCAGACTCTGCTCAAAGATCCCGAAGAGAGACGAGAGTTTTTCTTGGTGAGGCAGTAGTTTATTTGTTTATTTGTTATCATTTGTATGAAGCTCAGTTCTGTCAATTTGCAATCAAAATGTATTCAGTTGGTTGTGGAATCAGGCAGGTGGTACAAATTGCTTGGAAACATGTTTGAAATACTAAAAAATAAACTAAAAAGGCAAAGACAAAATGATGTTGTCATTTTCAGTAGTAGCAAAAGTAGCAGTAATACCTGACCTGACCAGATCTTTGTTTTTCAAAGGAGGTCTTCCCTGCTGAGTATGGACCTCAGTATGACAGTGATTTGCAGACGCTGTTTTCTGAGTTCCTCTTTAGGCTGGCTCAGCTGTTGCCAGTTCCCGACCTTGAGCAGGTGAGACGTCTCATTTTGTTATCGTTTGGATAAAAACATAACAGTATCTCACCATCAACGAAAAACTTAAACTACCATACTGCTTCTGTGCTACTATACTGATTGTACTGAATTCCAGTAATTATTTTGCATTATAGTTGGACCACAGCAACAGTATGAAAAGTGGCTGATGGTATGACACTCTTGTTCCGGGGGTTATGGTTTGTGTCAGATAAACATTAAATGAAATGGTATGTCAGAAGTCACTGGTAGTTTCCAGTGAAATAGGAGTAATGAACCATTTATAAGTTGCACACAGTATTAGCATATCATTATAAACTGTAGTATATGCCAAAGAAATATGTGACAGTGGAAAATCATTTGTGTGTGTCTGTGTTACTCCAGCAACAGGCTTACTATGGCATTGCTAATGGCCACAATAGGACGCATAAAGCACATAAATGAGCTCTAGCCAAGTAAAGCGAGCACTTTTGAAAGCTTTCACATTCCTTTTTCACATTCCTCTGCACATTTTATACATGACATGACTCATCATTTCAGTCCTTTTTTTAAACGGCCTGCCTCTCATTCCCAGTCTTCTCCCACTAAAATAACAAAGCTTTAAACAACGGAGCCTGCTGAGGCTAATAAATGCAAAATGCACAGTTTGTACGCCAAAAGTTTGTCTTCATGGATTATATTGATACCGAATTGACAAAAAGACTGTCGACATATCACACCCCTTATCTCGTGTTCTTAACGTTATGTGTTTTACGGACACTTTAAGAATTGTTAAAATATCGTGTTTGTTAAAGGGAGTTTGGCATAATGTTTTTCTGACTTCACTAATACCAAAGCTGAACTATTTACGTTATATACAAATGCCCTCTGTATTTGAATAACGCAAGCCAGACGCATTAAGTATTTTGTTTTAGATACAATCTCAAGCTGGCTGCGGGTGAGGGTGAGAGGGGCACAGGGGGGAGAGTGCGCTCTACCCATGGTTGAAAGCCTGTGTAGAAAAGCACACACTCTTCACCGCACATCATTTCTCTATAAATCCCGACTTCTGCTGGGAAATATGTATACCCACGTTTTATCGCCATTAAGGCAACTTTTTTGTGCATCCCCATGTTGGGATTGCAGCCGCTGATAGCACCATGAATTGTGTGTGTGACTTGTAGGGCTTCATGATATAGTAAAAACATCATATTGTGATTATTATTAATGATATTGCTTGCAATATCATTTACAGTTAATAGGAATGATCATTTTTGAATACCAAATTACATTTTCACTGAAAAAAAACCAAAATGATTTTTAACATTTGTTGTGGTATGTACCAAACAAACATGCTTTCTTACAACTGGAGAACAAGATTAGTAGGCCAGGGCCTCTTGTCAGAACTACAGTACTTCATCATAATGTTGTTTTGGCACACACTTTTCCTTCTTTAAAAAAAAGCAGTGTGGTGGGCTCGCTGATATTATGCTACTAAAAATATTTGAAAGACCTACGTAGTTATTATATATTATTTATTTTACTAACTATGTTAATCACCTTGCTTTTTCTTCCAGTAACGTCACTCTTTTCCATACAAGCCACTCACACACAGCTACTCTGGTCTATGTCTCTCTCTCATACACTCTGGCTTGCTCTGCCTCTCTCTGTTTTTTGATCTCTCTGTATGTGTCTCTGTTGATTTTTTTCAGCAGTAAATTTTATAAAGTCACCCAAAAAGCACAACTCCCGTTCGGGATTTTTTCATCCACGTTTCCGTTTTAATACCAGCAGGGGAACCGTGTGTGAATATCAGGGCATCATTGGCTAGTAATATGTCTTATCAAATCAAATCTCGGTATCCAATTTGTAAGGCTAAGATCTTTTTATATAGGATTTGGCTTGATGTGTGTTTTCATACATTTCCCACAGACTGTTTCCTGGCTTGGGGCTGAACGCTCTGTGTTGGAGGAGTGTGTGCATTCAGTCTCTGAACCTACAGACCTGAAAATTTTGCTCCAGCACCACCAACACCGTGGGCATTTAGAGCAGCATGGCAAGTGACTTCCCATGTCTACATCTGTTGTGTTTCACTTTCATTATTGATGACAGAACTCCATGACAATAACGTATATTTGTATTTTCATTGTATTGTTTTTTGTGCAGTTCCACCTTCCAGCATGGGCAACAGCATCCTCTCCTCCCTCTCTGCAGTTTCCCCTAGCAGAGTGGCAAAACCTACAGAACAGCCCAACCAATCAGATCCACTGCCAGGCCTCAGTGAGGACACACACACTGTGTCATTCGTGGATGACGTAGCAGTTGAAATAATCACAGTGACCGATTACGCAGAGGTTGAATTAGGCACAAGCACCGACATCGAGGTGGTGATGGGAGAAACCTGCTGTGAAGGACCAGACACCAGCATAGGGGCTGAGGACTCGCTGGTAGTGCTTCCTGATGCGATAACCAGGGAAGAAGAAAAAGCGGCAAGTGGTTCGACAAACATCATCCTTCCAGAAGCTAACCAGGACGACTTTGCAGCCTCCCAACACAAAACCTGCGTTGGACCTCACGACTGCCCGGACTGCGAGAAGAAGTTTAAGTTTGCCTCTTCGCTAATCGCCCACAGGGTCATCCACACTGGTGAACGCCCACACCGCTGCAATGACTGTGGTCGCTGCTTCTCTTTCAGGCAGTCCCTCGACAGACACAGACACACACACAAAACCGGCCGCAAGTACAACTGCATCATCTGCGGGGCGACCTTCCACTCCCTGTCAGCCCGCACAGAGCACAAGCAAACACACATGGAAGATGGCGTTTACACGTGCCATCAGTGCAATAAGAAATTTAACTGGGAGCTGGCACTCGCGAGGCACCTTAAAACTCACACTGAGGATCTCAACGCAAACCAGCCTACAGAGAGCCTTAAGGATGGACAAGAGGTTGATGTGGGTGATGAAAGTGTCAGCGAGGCTCCTGCTGCTCTTGCTGAACCTGACAGCCAGGTGCAGGATGATAATGGTGATGGCGATCCGGAGAATGTGGAAGGTCAGAGCGGTGAGCGCCCCGCCTCTGAGCCTGAAGGCACGGCCTCTAAACTTGACAACAGAGTCATTTCCTTGGTGAAGGTCCGCACAAGTGGGCGCAAACGCAAACCGACCATGAAGATCCAGGTGATAAATTTACAGAGGCGCATGGCCACTAAAAGAAGAAAGGAGATCACCAAGGCGAGCCCTGCAGAGCTGAAGCCTTTGCCTTTCAACTGGTAAAATGGTTTCCTTCATTTCTTTGAATTTATCACTGGTTTACTACATAGAAATAGAATGTAATATATGATGTACAAAGCATGTTTATTTTTATTTTTGCTTTCTCATTAACAGTGCAGAGCACTCTTATGGGTCATCCATTGTCTCATCAAAGGATGGTGAGGAAAGTGAGTGTTCATTTTGTTATCTTTCAAATATTGCATAACCAGAGAGATAAGAAAGCTTAGACACGTCATTTCCATAGAAAATCCAAGCAGTTGAAAGTCTGGTAAGCCTGAAAATTACAGGCCAGAAATGAACCCCATAATAAAAAAGTAATAAAAAAAAGGATTTCAGGATGGGCAACAGCTGATTAAACTATGTTAATATCAGAGAAAAGAAACAAAGTGAGTGATGGCAACAGCTTGTTTACAATAGTTATATATGTCCTGCTGATGTCTGAATATTCTGTCTTGGTGATAGCAGTATCATATTGAGCAAATGTGTCATTCCAGGTTAGCATAGGTTGTTGTTTTTACCCTTTTCTTCAAAGGAAAATGTATTTCCTAATGAATTGTTTGAAAGGAAAATGGTGTTACAGGCAAATTAGAGGGTAACTGGTAAATTCTGACATCTCTTTTAATGGCAAATAAAAACTTTTACTGGCACTTACAAAGATAAAAGTTGTACATCACTTTATCAGTTCTTAGTACAATGTTAATTTCTTGCCCCAGTCTCTATTGACTTTGTTTTTCCATTAAGGTTCTGTAGCAGATGGCTCATCAGCTGCTTTCTCCTGTCCAAAGTGCTCCTTCCACCACTCAGAAGAAGCACAGGTCCAGCAGCACATTGACAAGGTGCACTCTGTTGAGGCTGAGGATGACAAGCTGTCCCTTCAGCCCCTCGCAGATGAGGAGGGACGTTTTAGCTGTGCAGACTGTGAGAAGAGCTTCAAGTTCCAGTCCTTACTAAAAGCCCACCAACGCATCCACACAGGTGAGCAGCCCTTCCTGTGTTCTCAGTGCGGGCGGCGGTTCTCCTTCAAACAGTCACTGGAGCGGCACAAGCAGACGCACAAGTCCGGGCGCAAGTACGAGTGCCTGATCTGCGGGGAGTTCTTCAAGTCCCTGGTGGCTCAGAGGGAGCACAAGAGCACCCACATGGAGAACGGCGAATACCTGTGTTCGGAGTGCGGCCGAGCGTTTGCCTGGAAGTCGGCACTGGTGAGACACCTGAAGACCCACAGCGAAGACACTGACAAGGTGGAGCGTTCCTACAAATGCCCTCGCTGTGACCTGGGCTTCAGCTGTGCCAGCTACCTCAACAGGCACCTGCAGACTCACCAAGAAGAGAGAGTGCACTCCTGCAACTGCGGAAAGAGCTTCGCCTACCGGGCAGCTCTCACCGCACATCAGCGCATCCATCAAAAGGAGCGGCCGCACATATGTCCACAGTGCGGGAAGGGATTCCTCTACAAGGGGGGTTTGCTGAGCCACATGAAGATCCACTCTGAGGAAATGCCCTTCATGTGCGCCTTCTGCGGTAAGAGCTTCAAGAGGGAACGTAACATGAAGAAGCACGAGCGGTGCCACACCAGGGAAAACGTTTTCAGCTGCTCGCAATGCGACAAGAGTTTTGTTTACAAGGCGACTCTGACCAGACACGAGCTGACTCATTCAGGCGAGAGGCCGTACCTCTGCTCCGACTGCGGGAAGGGATTCTTTTCCCACGCCGAGCTTCTGAAGCACGAGCGTTTCCACACGGGCCACAAGCCCTTCCAGTGCCCCCACTGTGGCAAGAAGTTCACTCAGTCTTGCTACCTGACCATCCATCTGCGCTACCACACCGGAGTCCGGCCGTACTCCTGCGACAACTGCGACAAGAGCTTCCTCAGTGCCAACCGCCTGAAACGACACCAGCGAACACATTCGGGGGAAAAACCTTACCTGTGTGGGGAATGTGGGAAGGGATTCAGGCAGTCATATAATCTGAAAATGCATCAACGAACACATATCATAAAGTTAAGACTTGAACCTACTAACTAGATTCATATTTTGGAAATTTAAATGGTCTTAGATTATAGATTACTTTAGACTGGAACAGCTACTGTAGATGGATAATTGTGACTATCTCCTATGCAATTGCAGTGAACTGCATCTAGCATAGACACTTGTTCTAGCAAGAAAAGGTTCATTTTCCATTATACTGAATGCATTTGATTTCCAGGTTGTTTTGATTAAAGCACACTGAGCAGAGAATTGTGTTGAACTTGTGCTGTGACTTCTTTCCTTATCATCTTGGCTCAATATCTTAAAATAATTAACAGAAGAAGCTTTTACATAAATTCAGTCTTTATTGTGGGCAGGTTTTATGACAGAAGTTTTTTACACTGGGTTGGAAAAGAGGCTTAAAACATTTTTGTGCTAGAACAGGTTACATTTTCTTTTGACAGCAGTGGTTTAATTTCAAACAGTAAGACAAAACACATTACTGCAGATTCTGTGACATTGAGGCTTGTGTCTCAGATACACAGTAGTACAGACAGGAGCCACGGGTCATTGTTGAAAATCAGCTTAGACATCTTTGAGTATTTAGTGTTGCGTTTTTACAGCATTTTCAATTACATGAAGAGGAGAAACGGTTATTGTGGATTCAGTTATTTTATGAAAGTTTCATGAAAAAGATAGACAACTAAGCTACTGCTGAACCTACTGAAAAGAGTGAGTTAGGGCAGCACTTCTCCCATGAGTAAGGTCAACAAATGTAAGACTGCCCTGCCCAAGTAGGCAATGCCTGACTCCTTACAGAGCACATACTGGCATACAGGATAGTTTCAGCCAAGTTGGAACGGAAGTACTGAAGTAACAGTGAAGGCTAGGCAAAGCAGTAGCCCTGCTGACCAGACAGTGACCTACACAGCTATGTGCAGAGTTATGGGGCAGTGGTCGCTTCCCATCGCCTTGTTGCGGATCTTGCTGTCGCACAGGCCTGGCAGCAGACTGGACGACAGCACAAAGTAATCAAGCCTCCAGCCCACGTTCTTTCCGCGGGAGTTCATCATGTAGGTCCAGAAGGAGTAGGCGTTGGTCTGCTCGGGGTAGAGTTCGCGGAAGCTGTCGACGAAACCGGCCTCCAGCAGCTTGCTGAAGCCCTCGCGCTCCTCGGGGGTGAAGCCTGCGTTCTTCTTGTTCCCCTTGGGGTTCTTCAGGTCGATCTCCTGGTGTGCAACATTAAGGTCGCCGCACAGCACCAGTGGCTTCTGCATATCCAGCTCGCTCAGATACGCCTGGAAGTCCACGTCCCAGGTTTTGCGGTAATCTAGGCGCACAAGGCCTCTGCCGGAGTTTGGCACATAGGCGGTCACCAGGTAGAAATTGGGGAACTCGGCAGTGATGACGCGACCCTCCTTGTCGTGCTCTTCTTTGCCTGGAAAGAAGAATTAACAATTGAATGCAATTACTTCAGCTGCATTCGGGTCTAAGTTTGACATTTTGGTACATTTGTTTTCTTGACGAGGGTCATCTGTACAGTAAATATGAAGATACAACCAGGAGCCAATTAGCATAAAGAAAGAAACTAGCCTGGCTATCTCCAAAGATTAAAAAAGACTAATGAATGAGGTCTGCTCTCACCAATGCCATAGGTGACTTTGATGGGTTCCGTCTTGCAGAGCATGGCCACGCCACTGTAACCCTCCTTTTCATCTGACACAGCCCAGTACTTGTGAGGGTACTCAGGCATTGAGGTGATGTCAGCGGGGAGGGCTTTCTCTGAACACTTTGTCTCCTGCAGGCACAAAACATCTGGAGCCTCCTCACGCACCCACTGGGAGAACGAACACAAGCGTCATCCATTAAAACCAGTCTCAAAACTTCAACTTGGCAAACAATTTATGTTGCCTTAGTTTCTCTAGTTCACTGCAAACTCACATCCAGGCCCTTCTTTTTCACCCAGGCCCTCAGCCCGTCCACGTTCCAGGAGGTGATCTTCATGTTGGCGTTGCGGCCATCTTTGCTGGTCATTTTGTCAGGAGGATCCTCGTACATTATTGGGGCCTCGGGTTCCTTAGACTTCTTTGCTTTCTTTGCAGAAGCTGTGAGGTGAAAGGAAAGATAGAAGGTAGGCAGGTCACAGGTTTAAGTATCTCTTCAGGAGTTGTCTAATATGTGGAGAACAGTGTGTATTTGAATGTGCACTAATGCATGCTGTAGTACCAGAGCCTGAGTCATTTTCCCCGTCTGCAGCCGCCTCCTCTGTTTTCTTTCCTCTCTTCATACTTGAACCCGCTCGGACTGCAAACACACCTCGCAGACACACAACACGCACACACAACAACACACGCGCCGCTGGAAAAACAGAAGAGTGATTTAAGTGATGTGTTTGTCTGAAACTGAAGTTTCAAACTTTACAGCAATATGCAAGACTGCGGTTCAACTGGAGAATCTGCAGGTTCTTACTGTAGTGCTGAAGCAATGGTCGATTAATCAATGACTCATTCAATAGAAAATGTATCAAAATTGTTCCTTGTCAAGGCAGAAGGATATTTGCCGTTTCCAGCTTGTTGCTTATTCACTTTTATATCAGTTTAAAAAGAATTAATTTGGGGTTTTTCACTGTTGGTTAAAACCATCAGTTTGAAGAGGTCACCTTGAGTTCTGGTAAGTTGTGATTGTCCAACAAAGATGAATCCCTCCCAATAGTCTTTATTTTACATGAACACATACAGTGACACAGAGCACATGCTGGGATCCCATACATGTTATTTAATAACTGATGAAGAGAAGTACCCAGCAGGCTATTCTGGAGTCAAACAAACAAAAACAAAACTTACTGAGTACGACCACAGCCAACATCTACACGGTTATTCAGTCATTTTCTCCAGTTGTATGTCCCATTACTTTCACAAAGAGCAACCTGTGTATCTTAAAGCAGGCAGGTCTTACACTAACCCTTATGGATGCATATCAGCAGCAATGTCGGGCCAGCGGATGTAGGCTGGATGCTTGAGTTTCTCTCGGGATAAATAAAGTATCTATCTAGGCTGAGCAGCTGCCTATCCTCGAGTTACAAAATACCAGTTTCATAACTCTGCGTTTGTTCACAATTGGTTCAGGTTCAGTGAAATGAGTTAATAGAAGGATTAAATAAATCCCCTGACAAAGGGGAAGCACGATGTACGTTCATTTGGATGTTTGTAGTAAAGCCTAGCACACTAAACGTAAAATACGGATGAATATGTGCCCACATTACCAGCAGCCATGAATCAGACAGAAAACCAACACCAGCAGAAGTTATTGAGTCGTTTTTACTCGACAGCTTTAAAGGAAGGCTAACGCTAACGCTAGCTCCTCTTCCCCGTGACAAAGAGAGCAGCGGACGGCCTGCACTGACAATGAATGGAGCACAGCCCGCCAGCCACTGATCGGCTTCCGTTACAGCTCGTTTGATTCATCAATAAATGCAAATACTCATTAACGCTAGCGTTATTTCAACCAGTTACACGTTTCAGGAAAAAGAGCATGCAAATGATCTTACTTGCACTTTGACAACAGGATGCAGAGACCAGACTGTGCTGCTTCACAGTCACTCCCCAAACACACACACACACACACACACTCTCTATCTCTTACACACACACACACACACACAAAGCACAGCAAAGATTTCTGACCACGTGCTTGCGATACTTAGTTACTGTCTAAACACGTGCCTGATTAAAAACAATAAATAAAAAACTCTACCTTTTTTATTTTCTGTTTTTTAATGGATTAAACACACAGTGCTAGCTCCTATACCGCATATATCACTATCCTGACGACCTAGTGCAGTGTAACACTATTTAACCATCGCTTTTTGGTGAGGCTAACTCTACGGCTGTCACTGTGTGTGGACCCCCAGGTTTCATGGATGAATTGGGCTCCAGAAGTTAGCCGAGGAAGTTAAAGTATGAGTTTCTAAGTTGAACCTGCAGGAGTTTGGATGAATGTGAGCCACAGAAAGGAGAAACACTGGGTATGTCTATTCTGTTATTCAATGCAGCGTTAATATGAGCTAGCTTTACACAGACAGGGTGAAGGCTGTCACTGCTAGCATGACAGCTACACTGCTGCAGGATGCTTTTATTTCTTTTAATGATTTAACTAAACATGATATTTAAATCACAGAGGGATCTTTAAATTCAAGTCTCTTTAAAAGGTTGACACATTAGAAACTAACAGAGCCAAATGAACTGTGAGATAAGAAGACACATTAATGAAAGAAACATAAAAAAAAATTATTTTTTAAAATTTTTATTATTTATTTAATTAGTGACAGCGAGATGGGGCGCTGCTCAGTTCTCGTCCAGTATTCCCAGTTAGTCGAAGAATGACCTGTAGGAGGAGAACTTGTTCTAGTAAAAAGTATAAAACACAGTCACAAACAGCTTGAAAATCAGAACCAAACCTGAGGATGAAAACATCCCAGATTCCATTTCATGTTACACACATTACTGTCACCCCCTGCATGGGTCAACACCTCCAGCACTAACCCGACCCCTGCCCCACAATGCACAGTTTCTTTAAGGCCAGAGCAACACCAGTTAAGGTCTCTCAAACACTCTGGGCACAATGAACAATGTGTGCTCGACGCATGCAAAAACTAACAGCCTATAAACACCAATGTTAATAGTTGATTTAAACCAGATCCAAAGATATTGTATGGTAAACTACAAAAACAATAAATGTCAGCTGTGTGTGTGTTGTATATATAAAATGGTGTGCCTGTGTCTGTCAGCTCCTCGTCTACCCTTCACCTTTATTCTTCCTCTCCAGATGTTTATCAGATAATTAGTCGTTCCAGTCTCTGTAATATTAGTAGTAAAATCTAAATTCCAAGTTGTAATCCCTGTGATAAAGGCAAATTAATAAAAAAAAAAAAAACTGAACCCAGGTCTGTTTATTGCCATTAGAGGACCTACCGGCTTTCTCTTTGGTCTGCTCTCCACTGAGGTCCACTCTCCACTGAGGTCCACTCGCCTCCTCTTCCTCTCTGGAGAGAGGCTGGCTGACGTTCTGCATAAAAATGAAAAACTGTTTAAATCTCCAGAATCTTAACATAAAATCATCATTACAGTGAAGTGATAGAACACTTACCTTCTGATACCAGCTGGACTCACAGCCTCCCATTTCCTTTTGTAGGATGGGTTTAGTTTGGACCAGTCTAGTGGTTGTGTTTTCTCACTAATTGTGCGTCTGGCCATGGCCTCCTCCATGTAATCCTAATAAGAGAGTATTTTGATACATGATTCGATCATCTCAAGAAATTTAAAACTGAGTTGAACAGTTACATTAAATAAGTGTTATTTAGTCTAACCAAAGAATAATCTAGGCACTTATATATAAACTTTATAAACTAAAATAGTAATTTTTATTTACGCCCATTGATTTCACATGAATTCAGTTAAATTCCTGATCAAATTCCTGCCTGTCAACCAACTTGAAGCAATTGTACGTTATTTATTTTTCAGCGGACTGTGAATAACTAGATTGATATCTTTTATAGCCGTGTGAATGATGATTGTCAAACGAGACTTACTTAGTAGGTTGAGTAGGAAGTTTGGGGCAGAAAGAAGAAGAGATACTTTGTTAATTTATTCTTTTTTTCACTCTTACTTTACACACAGACTGGTATCTATCTATTCACATCATGCACATGCAGCGCATAGACATCCAAACGTGGAGAGGTGGTGGAGGGATGGGCTGGGCTTGACTTGAACCGGCAAGGGACTCATTACTTTACCACCTGCCCACACACTGACCGACTGCACTGGAGAACCCAATACACAACACCACAACAGTAGACAGATGTGATTAATACATTTTATTCTGGTCTTATTTAACATTAAAATTTCAAATACTTTTTTAAATTCCTACACTGCCAATTATTCTTAATAATGCTTGGGGTGGAAAACGCAGGAGACAGGAAACCCCTGCCATGTTATTAGAGGTGTGAATTGTCACTGATCTCCCGATTCGATTACGATTATCATGTCAGCAATTCGATTCGATTCTTCGATGCATCACAATGCTTCAAATAAATTTTTCTATTAAAGCCATGTAGGATATTTGACTTGACGGAATGCATTAAGATACTGTATAGTTCAATATAATACAGTTTTCTATATTACTTCATATGGTTGTTTTCAGTATTAGCTCCTCTGCTATTGTGTGATGGTTTTTTGCACCTTGTGATGTGGCGGTGTTTGTACCAGGCTACGGTGTGTTTTTATTTACTGATGCCGCGTTAACTAAATGACCGGCCTGTTGGTTTACTCATCGAAAACTGAACTGAAAAAAGTCCAGTGGCTTATTGACATAACTGGGGTGTAAGGTCTCCAGGTGCAGTCTTAATTTGTTTGGTTTCATGCTGTCCGCTGTCAGAGTTTTAAACATAAAACACACACAGGTCTTTACTCATTTCCGACCGTATTCACAGTAAACCCAGGGCTGTGTAGGCTTCGTCGTATTTCCTGCTCTTATTAGGTTTCTGCCGGTTACCGTCACATGCTGTTCTTGCCTCTGACGTCTCCTCCGTTTTTTTTTACTCCTGTCAGAAACTTTTCCATCTCTCCTCCCCTGTCAGTCCTCCCTGCCTGCGCCCCACCCACTACTTGATGAAACCGGTTAGGCTACTGAGAATGTTATTTCTCATTTGAATGTATATGCCGCGGCCGGAAAATTAACGTGTGACATCATTGCGTTACAATCGATGCAGCATCGTCCATGTCTGCATCACGATGCATCGATTATTTGATTAATTTCAACACCTCTACATGTTATCCACCCTGTCATCTTCAAATCTTTATCTTAAAAAAAACTTGAAATAACAAATTATTTGAGTTAGCAGAACCTAAACCGTAAACAAATGAGGGCCAAATAGTTTTATAGATTTAAAGTTTCACTAACTATCTTTCTTGTTACATTTTATTTAGAAAAAGTTCAACCAAGCAGCAACTTAGGTCATTAGTCTTATCTTTGCGTAAACTTTAAGCTTTTGTACATTATTTTATTTTTCAGCAGACTGTGAATAACTAGATTGATAGTTATAGGCAACTATCTATCTGCTTACTTGTGTATCTGTTTATTTTTCCGGCTTAGATTAATAGATCAGTGAGCTCTTCATTAGATGCAAGTACTTAAATGAACTTAAGCATTAAATAATAATAATAATACATTTTATATATATCACCTTTCTTATTAAAATTTAAAGTGCTCAACAAAAAGATAGAAGAAATTTGTCATGTCATCCACCCTGTCACACCGTCCACCCTGTCATCTTCAAATCTGTATCTTGAAAATAATCTAAAATGAATCGAGCAGAACCTAAACCATAAACAAATGAGGGCCAAATAGTTTTAAAGTTTGACCACATATCTTTGTTGTTACATTTTTATTTAGAAAAAGTTCCACGAAGCAGCAGCTCAGGTTGTTAGTCTTACCTCTGAGAAAAGACTTGAGGAACAGAAATAAAGCAAAAAATTTATAAATCAACTCACCATGAAGTAACGTATCCACTGCAAAGTGTAAAAGGAAGATAATTCCTAATATCACCTTTTAACTGTCGCTGTAGATACACTTCAACTCTGGATGGCTGTGTGTCTGTGAGAAGCAGTGCAAGCATGGTTATCAGGAAGTTGCCCTCAGAAGTAGCACCCGCCCTCTCTGGCTGACTGGCGGGATGGCTTGAATGACAACTTTCCCATTTTTTTTGTTGTGCACTTCCAAGAGAGATGAAGCAGTTAAAGGAAAATACATTTTTAAACTGTTGTGCTGTAACAATAACCAGTACAGTTTTACAGTGTACTCTACTGCTGTAACAATAAGCAGCTTGACTTCCATGCAAAGACAGAATACGTTAGCCTTCACTGCATGTTGCTTTTCTCTTTCCTAGAGATATTTTTTCTAGCTGCTATGACTGTAGTAATAGGATTTGAGGGCAGTGCCAATAAGATCGGCATTGGAATCATCAGGGATGGTGAAGTGCTTTCCAACCCTAGACGGACCTACATCACCCCTCCTGGTCAAGGCAAGTCACATTTGTGCTAAAGCACTATTGTCACCTTCACCTCAATGGCAATGTATCACAGTCTAACACTATGCACATGAAGCTGACCACGTTATTTTACCCATCAGGCTTCATGCCGAGCGACACCGCCAGGCACCACCGTGCTGTCATACTGACTGTCCTGAAGGAGGCGCTGGAGCAAGCAGGGCTGAAGCCTGCAGACATTGACTGTGTGGCGTACACCAAAGGTAACACCAGATCCTGGCTCTTATTGAATGAGATTTAAACGGTCACAAAAGGATTACGTTGTACTTTCACCTAAAAGCATTCAGATCTTCACTAGAACTAAAAACAAAAAAACAACGCATGTGAGTTTAAACAGTGCTTTCCCCCACAACATTAGTTTAAATGGATGTATCTAGGATCTTTTCTTTTCTATAAACAATACTGACTACAATGTAAAGTTGGGAGTCTAATATCAAGAAACACATTTAGAGGTGACATTGGAAGATGCTTTCCTGTGTTGTTTTCTTTCATGTCTAGTTTTAGGGTTGTATGTGTTCATGGACTTTTTGCCCCACAGTGTGACATTGGTTTTTAAAGTGGTAATCATGTCAGAATAACAATACTACCATTTTAAATTCATATTCATTGTACTCAGTAGACCTGATGTTGAACTTTTCCACTTTTTCTAAATAAACAGGAAGCAGACTGCTGAATTGTGAAAATAATTGTAATTATAATAGTTTAGCATCATTTACAAGAAGATGACAGGGTGGACGACATAACAGTGTGGACAAAGGCAGTGGGTTCTAGAAGAAAGACGGAAAAAAAAACAACCACGTGTCCACCCTGTCACGGAAGTCTGACAGGGTGGACAGTGACAGTGTGGACAGTGACAGTGTGGACAGTGACTGGGTGGACAGTGACTGGGTCAAGACATCATTTACAAGAAAAAATAAAAGAATGTCCACCATTTTTGGATAAAGTTAGAATTTAGTGAACACATGGAGGACCTTCAGTGTAATTTATTGTTGAAAGTGACGTGTACTATTCTACAAATTTATTCAGTTCATTAATATTGCCCTCTGACAGGGTGGACATGTTAAGCTTTCACCTACAGGAAATGTAAGTGTAGATACTGACTGTACTGCTGCAGTTGTTTCTATGGAAACACAAATCAGTAGTGAACAGCAATGTGCATGTAGCAATATTTAAATTAAATATAAATGATCAAAATGACTTGATTTATCAAATAACTTGTTGAAGACAATAAGAACAGTTAAAAAGTATAATTTGGTGTCATTTAACCACTTACCGCACTTACTACACTTATTGAAGTTAGTATAGCAGCGGCAATGATATAGAATAAAGGAAACACATTGTAATTGACTAATCATTGAACTGGTATGTGTGCAAATGTATGGATTTCATTGGTTTGCCACTTGTTCATCTTGACTTAAATATTAACCACTTTCCTTTCGGTTCCTTATTCTTAAAACGGAAAACAGATTCTGAAACAGCCTTTAGACATTCTCCATTCAACCTGTCCACTGCAACAGGGTATAAAAATAGAGGAAATAGGTTTCATAGTGGGGAAAAAATAGAAACAATATATTGACTGAAAGACGCCCTGATTCAGCACATCCATCAGAAAACTAAGCTGTCATGTCTTTGACTAGACAACACTTACACCAGTTATCAGTTATTGATTATTAAGTAGCTTTGCTTAGGCTAAGGGCTCTTTATAAGTGGAAGTAATGTTGGAGTGGAAACAATGTTTTTACGGCTCCAACATGACAAACAATCCCTCTCTCTCTCTTTTTCTCCTTCTCTTTCAGGTCCTGGTATGGGTGCCCCCTTGGTAACAGTGGCTCTGGTGGCCCGTACAGTCGCACAGCTTTGGGGAAAGCCGCTCCTCGGTGTCAACCACTGTATTGGACACATTGAGATGGGCCGACTCATCACAAAAGCCAACAACCCGACTGTGCTTTATGTTAGCGGTGGAAACACACAGGTTGGTGTCTGTCCCACAGTGCACCACCTACACCCTCAGCCTTTTTTTTTTTTTAATTATTAGTTTTTTGTACAAAACATGGGCAGCATCAATGCAATAAACAAAAGTAGCTATAATTACAATATGATGGGAGAAAAATAATTCTAGTGCTCACCCTGTAGTGTCCTTATTGGAACAACAAAAAAGAAGGAAGAAAAACAAAAGGTAGATATGTACACATATGCCTGTGCACCTGAACACATACATGCACATGTTCACTTACACCCACATGTCCAAATAATCATAAACATATATATATATATATAAAAAACTTCCCTCTCACCCTCTTGGGGTGGTATCCTGGGAGTTTGAGGGTTCTGCGCAGTATCTTAGCTGTTCCTAGGACTGCGCTCTTCTGGACTGAGGCTTCTGATGTTGTTCCTGGGATCTGTTGGAGCCACTCCCCCAGTTTGGGGGTCACTGCCCCAAGTGCTCCTACTACCACAGGGATCACGCTCGCCTTGATCTTCCACATCTGCTCCAGCTGTTCTTTCAACCCTTGGTACTTTTCAACCTTTTCGTGTTCCTTCTTTCTGATGTTGGTGTCTGCTGGTATGGCCACATCTATCACCACCGCTTTCTTCTGCTCCTTGTCCACCACCACTATGTCTGGTTGGTTGGCCAGGACCTGTTTGTCAGTCTGGAAGCTGAAGTCCCACAGCACCTTGGCCCTGTTGTTCTCAGCCATCTTCTGTGGTGTGGCCCATTGGGATTTGGATACTTCTATTTCATACTGGGTACAGATGTTCCTGTACACTATTCCAGCCACTTGGTTGTGTCTCTCCATGTACGCTGAACCGGCTAGCATCTTACACCCTGCTGCTATGTGCTGGACTGTCTCAGGGGCATCTTTGCATAGTCTGCACCTTGGGTCAGATCTACTCTTGTAGATCTTGGCCTCTATGGCTCTTGTACCTAGGGCCTGTTCTTGTGCTGCCATGATCAGTGTCTCTGTGCTGTCTCTGAGTCCAGCCTTTTCCAGCCATTGGTAGGTCTTCTCGATATCAGCCACTTCTTCAATTTGGCGGTGGTACATGCCATGTAGGGGCTTGTCCCTCCAGGTTGTCTGCTCCTCTTCCTCCGCACTCTTATTGGGTTTCTGTTGCCTGAGACATTCACTTAACAGTTCATCCTTGGTGGCCATTTTTCTGATGTACTCTTGGATTTTTGATGTTTCATCCTGGATAGTGGCCTTGATGCTCACTAGTCCTCGGCCTCCCTCTTTCCGCGTAGCGTACAGTCTCAGGGTGCTGGATTTGGGGTGAAACCCTCCGTGCATGGTGAGGAGCTTTCTTGTCTTGATATCTGTGGCTTCTATCTCCTCCTTTGGCCAGCTTATGATCCCAGCAGGGTATCTGATGACTGGTAGTGCGTACATGTTGATGGTTTGGATCTTGTTCCTGCCATTCTGCTGACTTTTCAGGACCTGCCTTACTCTCTGGAGGTATTTGGTTGTGGTTGACTTCCTTGTGGCTTCCTCATGGTTTCTATTAGCCTGTGGGATACCAAAGTACTTGTAGCTGTCTTGGATATCACCTATGTTGCTCTCTGGCAGGTCAACCCCTTCAGTTCTGATCATCTTGCCTCTCTTTGAGACCATCCGGCTATATATATATATATATATATATATATATATATATATATATATATATATATATATATATATATATATATATATATATAATTGAACATATAGACATGCGCACATTCATAGGAACAAAACATGAGAGAACCATAGGGTTGTGAGTAGGTCGTCACTGATATCGTCGTATACTATATATACAGTAATATGGTCATTGTTTTTCTTAACCAAAATATATAAGGCATTAAGGCAGGTTATCACCTCTTCTCGTGATATAGATGTACCATTTTTCCCAGGGGGCATTACCTTTGTCCCTTTTGTAATCTGAGACTAAAAGTCAGTAGTTCCATAGTTTGGATGTCTTTAATTATGGCTTCTTACTGACTAACCATGGGAGTTCTGTGTTGAGCCATCTTCTTATTATGGCTTTTTTGCTCGCTGCCATGAAGACTTTTAGGAGGTATCTATCTTTCTTTGGTAGCTCTATGTCCATATTACCCAGGTAGAATGATAAACAGGTAAAATTAAAATTATACTGCAAGAGGGGGGCGCCCCGTTAGCTCAGTGGGTAGAGCTGGTGACCCATGTACCGAGGCTGAGGGGGGGTCCTTTTCTTTAATTGGGAATAGCCATTACTTGAGCACATAGGACTGGGATTAGCAGATCTTAGCTGCTGACTTAAAGGACAAGCTTGTAGCATTTAATGACATCTAGCAGTGAATTTGCAGATTTAAACTACGGTGGCCGCAAAAACCACAGAAGTGTTTGTTTATCCAGTGTTTGGTCTGTTTGTTCTGGGCTACTGTCGGAAGCTGGGAGACACAAACTGAGGACTAGTTTTCCAGTCATGGAAAAACCTGGACATTGATTAATATGACCAAATATCCTGGAAATAATCTAAGTAGTCCTGGAAAAGTTGAAATGTAGTTTTAGCTCTTCACTCAGAGCTACGCCTTCGATTTCGTTTGAAACTAGACTGTTGGTAGGAGAACTGCACGTATGACACTTCAGAGTAGGTTTATCAGACGTGGAATGAAATTGTAGCAGTCTTTTCAGAGTCAAGTATATATTTTTCAGTGCATGCAACAAACACTTTCTGCACAAGGGGGCAGTAACAAATTATAAATATCCAATGGTGTGTGGGGTCGGTGTGTTTGGAGCGCAGGCAGATGTTATGGTTCCTACTGCAAATGTCACAATATGGACTATTAAGTTATACAAAACGATAGGATACAATCTAAATAATGCACAAGGACAGGGACAAACACCCACTGTAGTGTTCCATTCACCATCGTAGCTATCGGTACTGGGCCAGTGAGTCACAACAATGGATCATACATCAATAACAGCCTAATTTTACACATGATCCATGATGATACAGAAGAATCGAAATGCATTGCAAACATATTCTAGAGACAACCCAAAATGTCACACATCATGTTATCTTATGAAGCTTATGCTCCCCTGTAGTTTGCACCCAGTCCGTAGGCCTCCCGGAGAAACTGCCCGTCTGCATGTCATGGCACTGAGTTTCTGCACTGCTCTTCCTCATGATGTCAGTGAAACAGTGGGTTGGATTAACCACAAATGTAATCATTCTTTTGTCCATGTCTTCCTGTGCAGGTTATTGCGTACTCAGAGCGGCGGTACAGAATATTTGGGGAGACCATTGACATCGCCGTTGGCAACTGTTTGGACAGGTTCGCCCGTGTAATAAAGGTGTGTGTCATCGTGGTCCTCGTGAGAGCAACAGTTTGACTTCTACTGTATGCGATCGATGTGTGTTAATAACTGTTCCTCCACTCAGATTTCCAATGACCCCAGTCCAGGCTACAACATAGAGCAGATGGCCAAAAGGTGAGTGAGCCTCAATCTCTTTTTGGGATGTGTTGTGTGTGTTTGTAATGCTTGTTTCACTTTGCTTCCTGTGCCTGCTGTTAGAGGGAGTCAGTACGTGGAGCTGCCATATACAGTAAAAGGAATGGATGTCTCATTTTCTGGGATTTTGTCCTACATTGAGGTGAGTGGAGAGCTGTATCTACAGTAAGTGCTATCAGCTAAATATCTTTTGACTTGTTGCAGATGATAATTCAAATCCTGAGGCTACAGTTTGCTGTCTGCTACTTCATCATTACTTTGGTCCCTGTTCCCAAAAGTTTTCTCTTTTCTTCTTCCACAGGAGGTTTCTCATAAGATGCTGAGCTCTGGTCAGTGTGCAGCAGAGGACCTGTGTTTCTCCCTGCAGGTACGAACAACAGCTGTAGTGCTGCCTCATGCTCTCCAATTCAACATGTGTCTATGATATTGTTATACATGTGGAGTGCTGGGCCAAGCTTGACACACTTTCTTCCCATCTATCTTTCCTCATAGGCTACCATACAGTGATTTGCTGGCTTAAATACTTTTTTATATTTTATCAGACATTTTATTTGATAAAATGGTTTAACATAAAAAAAAACAACATAAAAAAACCTTCAAAGTCAAAATATTGTTGTTTTGAGTTGTTTTTAAAACTCTATGGTTTTAATGGTTTTTTCTATTAAAGTTAAATATCTTATCCTCTGAGCTAACTAGGGCTGTATGATACTGTAAAAATTTCACATTGCAGTTATGACAGATATTGCAATATGATTGATGATTGGTGTGGGAATAATCCTTTTTCCCAATTTGAATTAACGTCATAATGATTTTAAATTTGTTGGGGTCTGTACCAAACAAACATGTTTTTTTAAATCTGGCGAACAAGATTGTACTAGAACTAGAGTATTTGATTATTTTGCTGCTTGGTCACACAAAAAAAAAATGCATAAAAATGCAGCTTAACATGTTGGATAATATTTTAATAATTGTGCAGTTCCTCTCATGGTTTGACCTGCACGGGTTCACTTTGGTAAGACTAAACTGACCTGGTTAGTTAATTTAGTCAATGATTGTATTTCCCTGCTTGTTATAAACAGTACAGCTCAGGGTTCACGAACTTTAGTCTCTACAATAGTTCACAAAACATTATTCACTACACAATTGATTTCCTCAAAGAAGTATATGGAATGGATAATCATACACCTGATATTTTCTATAAAAAATATAGTTTACCGTGAAAATACATTTTTGGTGTGATGTCTCCTGTGATTGCTCTGTATCTAATGAATACTTTTATTTATTTATTTCCCTTATGGCTTCTTTATTTTTTTGTAAACCAACTTTAATGACACATACACACTTTATTTGTTAGAAAAAACAAAAAAAGAAAGAGAGAAAAGCCCAAATTCAGTCTGTCTGACCAACAGTCCAAAGATATTCACTTTACCATAATGTAGGACATACAAATGGATCAAATGTTCAGTTTTTTGTTTTTTTTCCTCGAGCATTTTTACATGGAAACCATTCATACAACAATTGGTTAATCAACTATTGGTTAACACCTCCCTTCCTGCAGGAGACGCTGTTCTCAATGCTGGTGGAGATCACAGAGAGGGCCATGGCTCACTGCGGCTCCCAGGAGGTCCTCATCGTCGGGGGCGTCGGCTGTGAGTATCAGCAATCAGTGAGAGATGCTTCAAGTATTCGGTACCACTGCCCCAATGTCCCGATCTTTCTAGTAGATACAATACTGCAGTTCCAACGTCACAGGAACCGGACATATCAACAGACTGTTGACATAGTGGAAAACCAAAGAAAATATCCCAGAGTTTATATTATTCTTTAAATGGGGTAATATATACCTGACCTAATATCAAATTAAAATATATACATTTATATTTCAGGAATTCATATTTTACTTTTGGTGGAATGAAATGCTCCTACTGTCCTCAACTGTTTGTGGTTCTTATTCTCTTATTTCTTTCTTAACTTCATCACAACCACAATGAACTGATGTTATTCTGCTTGTTTAGAAATTACATGTCACATTCAGACTGCAAGCCTTTTTTGCTCATGTGTGGCCCGGATCTGACTTTTTCATCACAGGGTGAACAGTCTAAATCACATAACAGCCCCACGAACGAAGAGCCAATAAGAGTCATTTATTATTGTAATCTGTAAAAAGATGCAGTAGCAAGGAAAATCAACACTCAGCAGAATCCAGTTCATTCAGGTAACCCAGGCTGCACTGAAGCAACAAACCCTACAGGACCCTTCTTACGGGAGAGAAATTCCCTCCAGACAGCAACAAGACCAAAAAAGATCATACAGCTGATAAATTAAAAAAACCTTAAGGAACAGCTTGGCTGCAAACATTTTTCTTTATTCAGTGCAAAGCTGTTCACCTGTGTGATCTAGAAAAATACAAGTATTCGGAACTCTGTAGATATTAAATAACTGATCAGATCACAAGCAAAAAAACCTGTATGGGACATCCTTAATCACAACAACTGCAAGATGCTCAGGAAAGGTTCATCCTATCATAACTAATCAAAGCAGTCCCAATTCCAACCATTAAAGCCTCATCAGAAGCTTTGAACGGTCCTTGAACTGTCCTTAATAGAGTCCATCCTGTAGAGACCGTGACCTCTGGTTTCCTCTGCAGGTAACCTGCGTCTGCAGGAGATGATGGGGGTGATGTGTAAGGAGAGAGGAGCCAAACTGTTTGCCACAGATGAACGGTAAACCAGTGGATCCCCTATTGTTATTATTTATCTGAATTTAAGAGTGTTCACAGGACCAACGCTTTGCTTTTACTTTAATATTTCCTACAGACTGCTTACATGGTTATGCATTTTCACAGCATGCTTTGTAATACAGTTAGCAGTAATGTTAAGTGAGTGGCAGTAAATGGACTGAACATGCAAAATCCCTGGCATGGTCCTTTAAAAAAAAAAAAAGTGAACGTTGTGTTCCAGGTTGAGTCCAGATAACAGTGCTCACTTTGTGCCACAGGTTCTGCATAGACAACGGAGCAATGATCGCTCAAGCCGGCTGGGAGATGTTCAGGTCTGGACAGGTGACGGAGCTGGAGGACTCGTGGATTACACAGAGGTACACCTGTTTGTATCTAGTTTCTGCTTCTGGCTCTCTGTGGGAAATGAACGTGATCCTGGAAATCCAAAATGGCCACTTGTGGTTGAATGATCGAGCATTTTGCTCCACAAAGTTGGAGCCAATGTTTTTTCAGGGTCCCCCAGCTAAAAGATTGTTAATCATTAGAAACTCTTCAGCAATGTCCTCTTGATGTATAGGAAATAGGAGAAACCAGAACATCTGATGTGTCCATGCTGACATGAGCATTTGTCCTGTTGCAGGTACAGAACAGATGAGGTGGAGGTGACGTGGAGAGACTGATGGACTCAGCCACATGTTGCAGCAGGTCTGTTAGGACGGGAGGTTTAGAGCTCCTGAAGAGACACTTCATTCTGGGAAACTTAAGAATTTAAGAGTTTGTTTTGAGTTTGTCTGAATTACAGTTTAAAGCCACAAATAAAGTTTCTCTTCCCGCTAATGTTTCAGGCGGACTACGGAAAATCCTGGCAAGTTAAATCAGTCCCGTTTTACTTTAAACTGTTTCTCCTCAGTATCAAGGAGGGAAACGTTGAACTGTCAGATAAAAACAGACTAAGATGAAACTCATCAAGTTTATTCATTTTTATTAAGCAATACTGTTCACTTACATTCCTCCTCTTTCTCCAGTGTAAATTTTTTTTATTCAATAAATTCTTTTCAAAAATCAACATACTGAACATGGTGAGATCCCTTATGGATTCATGAGCAACATTCGCCCGATTAGGGAACCAAATAAAAACAAAGAAAAGGAACACAGCATTAAGATCTGACAGGGGTAAAGGGTGAACTCTACTGTGCCTTTGACTACACCCCTCTGTAAACTGAAGACACGGATACACAAGTCCTCTGCATACAATAACCATAAAACTCAAGCAGGTGTTGTAATGGAGAAGGGAGGGGAGGGGGGATAAATCACTCTGATGAGGGTTTCTCGCACACAGGGATTGGTCACAACAGATTCTTTTTAACAAAGTGCTTGATTGACCGCTCGCTTTACAGAGGACACAAAAAGTTTGATAAAACTGCAGCTTTCAACAGGGGGGAAATTAAATTACAGCTCCTCAGAGATTGTTAAAAAAAAAAAAAAGGAGAAAAAAATACCAGCTCTACACATACAAGCTAAAAATGGTAATGAGAGGTGATGAAAACAGGTCTGATTAATTAAGGCAGGCTTTCTGTAAGGCGTTAAAAAAGTCCATTGCTGTAAGATCTCAAAGGAGTTAGTCCAAAGTGTCAGTGTGGCTTTGTGTGAAGACATCATCCTGAGTGCAGTGTGTGTGAACGGGACTCAAAAATGTGTCCATCTTTACGTGTTTTAATGTGCATGTAGGTGTATGTTGTGTGTTTACATATGCTTTGGGTCTGTCACACTGCTAGGCTGGGTGTTCCTGGCTCTCCTTATACCAAACTACCTTTTTTGGAACTGCAAAACAGAAAAAGAACAAAATGTCAGAGGGAGAAGCAAAGACACAACACATATGTCAGATAAATCTATATTAAGCATGGCATTATAATAAACTGATAATACTGTGACAAGCAGCACACTAAGAGAAAAGCAGCTCTCAGCAATGTCAACCAGAATTGGCAGGTTGACAATATGTTCATTTAACTTAAATATTCTTTAATACAGTTATGTGTTGAAGAAAGCTGCTTTCTGAGTACCTTTGCAGAGTCATTAGTGCACAATCCACAAAGAATAGCAGTTAAGAAATTCACTATATTGGCCTCCATGTTGGTAATCAGTGATTTCTTCCCCTCTAAAATTGGTATCGGTCAGGCTCCAATATAAATATACATTTTATTTAAGGTGGGTAATTTGGAAAATGCATATGGATCAATGCATATTGTAACTGTTGATTTTACCAGCTGTTCATATTAACTTGGACTGTATACTTTGATGGTGATTATTTAATGCTTGCCAACTTCCAGAGTAATGGATCAACAGAGGAAACGTGCCAGGAGACAAGAAAGAAAAGAATTTTGGTTGTGTAGATTGAACACCAGATTGTGTGGTACTGTTTTAAAAAGTATCATTTCACACCGTATCGGCATTAAACCCAAATGATAAACGGTCAACCTACCTTTTTTCTGTTTGTTACAAATAGCATTCCATTCTGAGGAGGGATAAATAAAAAAAAGACACCGTTAGAGGCAATGCACTAAAATGACAATATTCCAGAAGGAAAATGTGGCAGGGCACCGTCTTTACGGCTCCTCTCAGCGCTCACCTCTACTGTGATAATTCAAAGCCTCCACTAGATGGCGACAACTAAGCAGCAGCTTCCCGTTGCTCTCGTCCACCTCTGGGCGTGCGGTGGGGATGATAGAGGTAGCGACTGGAATAGGAGTTACTTCGGGGGGCTGGATTGTGAGAACTGTCTCGAATGTTAGCTCTGCTGACTGTTCGGCGTCTGTGGGTTGAGGGTGGAGGGCGTTGGTAGCGGGGCGAGTGCTGGGGCCCTCCGTGGCCGGCCTCGCCTCGCTGATGAAACTGAGACCCCACTGGTTCTGTAGCAGCACGCCGATGGCAGGCCGGTCCTCCTCCAGTGTTCCGCTTGCTGCCCCCGCCTTCACCTTGGAGGCGTAGCTGACGGCAGGCTGCAGCTTGGCGGGGCTGTCCTGCACTGGGAAGGCGGGTGGGGGCTTGAGCAGTGACAGACTGTCCTCCACCCACCTCTCCTTTTGGATACCCTTTTGTGGCCGCTCGCTCACTCGGCTGACGCCTTTCTGGCTTTCCCTGCGGAGGCTGCGGCCTTTGTGCTGCTGGCCCCTGCGCTCTTTTTCCCTGCGGAAGGTCAAGGCGTGTGTGTGGCCGGCTCCGATCAGTTCGCCTTCGGGTGAAAGCTGTCGGGGCTGTTGGTCACCTCCAGAGATGCAGCCTCCACCCCCACCACCTCCACAGTTGCCCGAGCCAGGAGACAGGCGGCGGTTGCGAATGTGCGGCTCGGAGTTGGTGGCTGAAACAAGGACTGCTGGGTCACACAGGGTATCGGACTCGCACACAGTGTTACTGGCTTCCCATGAACCTGAAACAGAGGTGTTGAAATGTGAGTCAAATATCTGCTATCTAATATACTCATATCTGCATACCACACATACCAGGAACTGTTTTTCTAGGTCCTGGTGAACAGTATGATATGAAATAGTCACCACGGGGGGGGGCACCAACATTTGGGCTCAGAGTTGAAACCCTGTTAAACTATTAAACTGTAAAAATAATAATAATTCCTGAATCCCTATTCTGCCTCCTCCTCGTGTTAATTTCACCAGGTGTCCAAACAGGTGTTTCACACTCCAAGATTCTGCACTTGGCACTGGTTCATAAAGGATCTTTGCACTTGGCCGTTTCATACAAACAAACATCAGGGGTGGATGGTGACACATTTTCATGTGACTTCACTGTGCCAGTTGAGTTTCAGCAGAACAACAGTTGCCTGTTTTCCAAGTTGTGCAGAAAAGAACAAAATGACCTGATACTAAACTAAGAGGCTGGAACAGCTGGAGCAAAACACCTCATGTGGGGTATTTGCTCCACTGATAGTAGGAAAATGACTAAATTAAAAAGCCCTAATTGCCCAGTTTGTGTGTGTGTGTGTTGTTGTAATGCTGAAACAATTAGTTGATTAACCAATTAAGTTGACCAAGGAAATTAGACGCCAACCATTGATAAGCCACATTCCTGCTATCTATTCAATCACAGATGCAATACAACAATAGTTTGCATTTTCAAATGTGACTATTGGCTTTTCCCTTGTTTATGTTGTTAAAGAGTTTGGAGCTGTTGGTTGGACAAAACAGGCAACATGAAAACTTTACCTCTGGCTTTCCAAGTTCCCAACCTGAGGCTTTCTCATCGTTTAACATTTTACAGTCTAAACGGTCAATAAATAAAATCTGAATGATCAATCATTGAAATAAAATTGCAAGCCTATATTTGCTTACCTCAGTATTTAAAGACAATGTTTAACTACTGGCTGTAGTCAGCTGGTCACCATACACCTTGAACCAGTGTTACACAACGGTCTGTGTCAGTCACATTTAGTGAAAGGAACAGAATGGTTAATTAACCAGGGTGTGAAGGAAAGGTTCAATTTTAGTTGGGCCATTTTCTGTCCACATGGCACAAGTCAGGTCATTGTTAACGGTACGTCTACTGGAAATACTTCCTCAGAGGCAAAAGCAACGAAACTCACAACAGGTTCTTTGTATTGTCTCAGAACTGGAGGGGACACAGATTCAAGTGTAACACCCATATGATTAAAATATGAATACACTCGGCCTGAACAGCGTGCCCGCTAAGCGCCACATTTAAAAAAAAAAAAAAAAAAAAAAAGGGGGAAGAAAGAAACGGTACTTTGCCAGTGGAGCTCCTCCTCAAGCACCGTGTCAGAAATGATCCGACCGACCTGAGTCAGCGGGCTCTGGCTACAACACGGACCTGGCTGCTTTATTGTTGTCTCTTCGGATACAACAACATGCTATGCTTCGTGTATGCGGAGCTGGCAGCTAACGAGACCGCAGAAGCTACGAGCCAGCACCGGTGTTAGCAAACTTTAATTAGCAGCGTCATGGTGCGGCGAATAAAACTCGACGGATTTACCGGTCTGTCGTTATAATATAATCAATATAGTTCACCAAACCCCCAACAACAAACGCTGTCGTCGAAGAGATGGCTCTATTTCCCACCATATCGTGAAATGGACAGCTAGCTAGCATGTTAGCCGAAGTCAAAGTTTCGTAACCCCCATTCAAAGCAGCGGGCAGGCTGCTATCGATACCGCTAGCACAGTTGCTAACACCGTCGCTAAGACAACGAAATCAGACATCTGAAAGTAAGGAACTTCAGTGTGACGTGTCAAAAAGTTGTCCAAACTTACTTGTTTTGATATGCATGTCTTTTCGTTCCAAGTGTCGCTGAAGTTAAACCGTTCAGTAACTTTTGTTTACAACGTTAAGGTAACGACGGCTCGCTGGATCGGTCTTGTGTGGCCACCCGGAAGCGACACGAGAATGTGGGTGGGACAGGAAGTCCCTGTAGATAAGCGGTCCGGCGGGAAACTTGGAGGGAATTTTAATCATCAACCCTTGCGCTAAAGATGACCCATGTGATAGCCACGTGGGGGTCTAACTGGATGACGGGGTTTTTTCTCTTTAAAATAAAAGATTTTAACACTATGAAAAATTAGTTCAGAGGTCTTTATGCAAATGTGATATTACAGCAAAACTTGTTCCTTCACACATATGCCACATTAAGGGATTTACATAAAATATGATGAAACAATATACAATTATTAGATTTAATTTACAAACTTTATTTATCCTGAGGGAATCTGCTGTGTAGCAGTCGCAGTACAAAGTCATAAAGAGTGCAAATACCTGAGAGCAAATTGATTTGATGTGCAACCCAAATGTACACAACGTCAGAAATGTAACGGAACCTGTGTGTGACACAAACATAAACTTGTTAAGGTGCAAATTCCAACTATATACTCAATGTTAAAGTAAACAAGTTGACAGTGATGATCACAAAATTAGGCAAATTAATGGTGAGGTGCAGATCTAAAAAAAAAACCCCACACTATACCAAATAATATACATAAGACAGTTAAAGCAAAGAAAACTTGGAATACTTGTTTGAGGAAGTAAAGTAAGCCCTAACAAAGTCAAAATCGGCGTGTTTTCCAAATTCAATGAATTCCCTACCTGTGTGTCGGGACCCCAGGAGCTTGCATGATGAGAACGGAATAGGACTAATGGCACATAAATGACTCTAATTGTTGTTTTCTTGAGCAATAAGAAATATTTGACCTTTGCAGGCCTCTAAAATAAATTAGAAAGAAGACTCAAAACTTGGTTTACAAATGTGGTCTGGACCCCACCAGCATCCATAATCTAATCTGATGATACAACAAATCGGAGTCATCATGGTTGCAGAACTACAGACAATGTGCTCTAAAGTAGTGCTGTAACTACAACCTCAGTTCACAGGCTCTTCCATATTCAGTTTTGAGTGGATTACACACATCCTGCCTCTCATTGTCCTGAATGTAACAACCTTTAATCAGTTTATACAGAAAGCAGTGATCAGTCACACAGTGGAGAGGAAGCATGCAAACTGTTGTTTTAAAATCAACGAGACAAGTTATTTCTAACACTACACAGATCAATGAATGAGCTATTAACTCTTCACAATAAATGAGTAACTTAAGGGAAACTCACCTTGGATATCTGAGCAGTCCTCCAGTGCTACTGGCCCATCAGTGGCTCCATCCTTAAAATCTGTGGCCTCCTCCCCCTTTCTCGCACACCTCTGTGGCCCTTCTCCGCTGCTCCTCTTCTGCATTGTGTTTGTGCACCTTCTCATAGCTTCGTCCCTGTTCAGGTGTGTTTTGCTTTCCTTGGTTTCCTTCACCTTGTTTTTCTTTTCTCCCTCCTCTAAACCAGAGCCTTTACACTCTGTGTCAGCTTCTCTGCTCTCATCACCTCCATGAATCTTCACTTTCTTTCACTTTCTTTGGCTCCTCTGTGGATAGTTTGGCTTGTTTTCCTCCTCCTGTTTCTCTCCAGAGCTCCCATTGTCCTTTCTTCTCTGCCCTGTCCTGCTCTTTGACTTTTTCTGGCTTTATCGCTTGTCCCACACTCTACTCTATTGCCACTGTCCTGTAGATTCCCCACCTCCTGATCTCTTTGATCATTTATCTTTTGAAATGACCCTCAATGTTATCTGTTATCTGCCGTCTTTATCGCCCCCCCAGTTAAGTTAATAAATATATATATTTTAAGCACAGACAGATTTTCCTTTAATAACCTAAAATGTCATCCCTGCATTGTTTTATAGGCACCATCAGCATCCTCTTAACCTTCCTGGGTGGCGCACCCAACATCTCTGCCAGAACTAAGAAAGACTGTAATAATGACCCAAGGCGACTGGTTGGCAACTGTCAATGCTCCTACTGTTCTCAGACACCTTCCTTTCACAATCAGAGATTGGGTTTGTTCATTTTAAATAATGTCTCTCTCCCTGGGTTTCCCTGGCAGGTCGAAAACTGAATCTGAGCTGTCCCGAGACAATCGTAAGGAAAGGAAAGCAGACAAAGCTTCAGATGTTTTTCTTTTTTTGGATGGTTTTTTTTTTTACGTCACTGTAAAGTCCATTCTCAGTGGATAAGCACTGGTGAATTCAAGTTTCTACCTCACACTGTACAAGTTGCATACTGGACCAGGACTGACTTCCAAACTATTTGTGATGTCACAAATCAGATCAGTAGATCCCATCCCTTAAAACCTGATTTTCAGAAACTTTCCACTTTAATATGGAAAGTGACTTCCTATGTTCACAAAGCCAGACAGGACAATACTTCAATTCATGTAACAGTGTCACCAAAATAAAAAAATAAAAATGAAACTATTCAATTGATGTAAGAGTTTGTATTTTTACAGACAAAGAAACAATCATCATCTTCTAATAAATAAATCATTAGCTCCTGGCAGCTCAAAGACTAAAGGATTCCACAACGATGCCCTTCTCCATGTGTGTGCGTACGTGTCTCTTCAGCCTCGTCGACGTAGAGAAACTCTTCTTACAGAGCGGGCAGCTGTGCGGCTTCTCTCCGGTGTGTGTTCGGATGTGCATGTTGAGGTCGGAGGAGCACCTGAACCTCCTCTCGCAGTAGGAGCAGGGATACGGCCTTTCTCCCGTGTGGATCCGCTTGTGGAGGAGGAGCTCGCCAGAGGTGAGGAAGGTCTTCCCGCACTGGGAGCACTGGTGGGGCCGTTCCCCTGTGTGAGTCAGATTGTGCCGGACGAGCGAGGTCGACTTGGCGAACCTCTTCCCGCAACGCGCGCAAGCGAACGGCCGCTCTCCCGTGTGCGTATTGAGGTGTTCGCTCTGCGCTCGTTTGGTTTTGAAGCTCTTGGGGCACTGCTGGCAGCTGAACGGCCTGAAGTTACTGTGGCTGCGCTGATGCCTCACCAGCTCGCCGTGTGTGAGGAACGTCTTCTCGCAGGTGGCACAAAGGTACGGCCTCTCACCCGTGTGGATTCTTTCGTGGCGCGTGAGGCTGGCCAACTGTGTGAAGCTCTTCTCGCAGTAGGAGCACTGGAATGGCCGTTGGCCATTGTGAGTCAGCAGGTGCCTGTTGAGGATCTGGAGCTGCGTGAAGCTCTTCCCGCACTCGGTGCAGGGGTACGGACGCTCCCTGGTGTGGATCTGCCGGTGCTTGTTCAGGAGCCACACATGCGTGAAGCTTTTCCCACAATCACACGCAAATGGCCGCTCGCCAGTGTGTTTCATCTGGTGTCTCTTGAGGTCCGACGCTCGGCTGTAGATCTTCTCACACAGGGAGCATTTGTACTGACGCCTCACCACGTGCCTCTGCCTGTGCCTCAGCCGCTCCAGGATGCTGCCGAAGCTCTCGCCACATTTCTGGCACTTGTACTGACCGCCCTCTTTCTCTGACGTCTCCTCTGCTATCACCACCTCTGTCGTTAAGTCGAGGGGAGGGTTGCAAGTCTGTCCGCATGCAGTTCTTTCGAAATGCAGCTTGAGCAGCCCCATCTGTGTGAACCGTTTGCCACACTGGGAGCAGAGGAAGGGCCGTTCTCCGGTGTGAATGCGCTGATGTCTGGTCAGATCCCAGGAGTTCTTGAAGCCTTTCTTGCATTCCTCGCAGGTGTAGGGACGCTCACCCGTGTGTGTCCGCTGGTGACGAGTCACGTCTGAGGCACGTGTGAAGGTTTTGCCGCACTCCTGGCACATGTGAGGGTCGGGCCTGTCGTGGATTGGGAAAGGCTTTGGGAACTCGAGATGCTGGACCTTCTTCTTGGGGGCCTCAGTTGTCTCTGCGGCCTTCTGGAGTTTGCTGTACTGCTCAGGGTGACTGTGCTCAATGTGCTGCAGCAGGAAGGTCTCCTGCATGTGGAAGAATGGACACTCAGAGCAGGCGAAGACCTGAGTGGACATCTCCACAGTGGTACCTGTGTCAAACACAGAAAACATAAGGAGGTATTTAATGTGTTGTCCAAACATGGCAAGTATTGGGCAAGTGACTGTGTGTCTAACTGTGTGGTTAGACAGAAGTTTCTGTTTCTTTTGGCAGACAAGTCAAGGTTTCTGCATGTTTCAACAGGTTCAATTTAAGACTTTCTAAAGACTATTATGAATGCAGTTTAAGACCTATTTATGTCCATACAGGCAGAAAAGTATTAAGAATAATCAGGAAAGGAGTCACGTGGGAGCGCCGAACAAGATGGCTGCACATTAGAAGTTGTCCAGAAATCCCACCAAATTAATGTAAATTCATTCGTTCATTTCTCAATAATTTTCGACATCTTTGTGTTTAAGAACACTCCGTTGTTACTTCTCATCATCTGAAGCACAGAAATTGCTACCTCAAAATATTTTAGAAAGCCTGCAGCAGACTCTAGTGATGCTAGCCTGAAGCGTCCTGAGCAGAATAATAGCCTGGAAACTCTCTTTACTGAAGTGAGTAAAATGAGTGCCAACTGCATACATTGGCTTTGAAAGTGTCAACGATCAAAGAGACCACTGCCGAACTGAAAAATGATCACAATTTTAAAAAGTACGATAGTCTCATTAAAGACTTTCTATGGGCTGGAAGCAAGCCCAGATTTAAGTTGAGCAAAATGCATGCACCCAAAGATAAAGGCGGGCTTGGTTTACCTGATGTTAGACTATATAGCTGGTCATTTGAAATGGCCAAGATAGCTATCCAAACTCTGGAGTGGGACAGTGGATGGTTTAGAATGGGCTGCTATTGAAAAGGCTCTGGTAGAAGGAGGATTATCTTTGCCAAACACAGTGAACTATTACAAATCTGCACAGCTCAGATATCTGATTTATCTGTGCAACCCATATTACAATGCTAAATGGAAAAATCTAGAATTAAGCGAACTGGACATTCCCCTCCAGAGCTTGCTTGGTTTTTATAAAAATTTATTGACAAAAACACCCCTAAACATGTGGTTTGCAGAATGTCGTAAAAACAAACTGGAAAATCACATCAAAATATTACGATGGGTGGCACATGACAAAGATTTTAAACCTGCCCAGATGGATGGGCGTTTCAAACAGTGGCTCAAACAGTGGCTCAAAAAGAAAAGGCTCTTGCCATGCCATTCCACCCTATGTGTGTGATAACCCAGCAGTCAAAGGATAAACAGAGAGATTATAATCCAATTATTCAACACTCTTGGGAGGTTTGGGCAAAAGTTCATAAAATCCACAAGATCTCACATTGCAAACAGCAATATGCCTCACTTTGGTTAAACCCAGAAGTAAAAATAGGGAAACAAAGAACATTTTGGAGAAGATGATTAGATAATGGAATACACACAATAAGCAATCTCTATAAAGATGGTATAATTAAGTCATTTGTTGAATTAGCCCAAGAATACAATTTGCAAGAGAAGAGTGATTTTTGGAAATACTTGCAGGTTAGACATTGCTTAATGAAGAAGTGTCAACCGAATGAAACCAACAACCCAATAGTTGACTATCTCCAAAACCCACCTAACCATAAAGCATCAACATTCAACACTAATTCAATTTATTTAACCAGCAGCTCATGTAACAATTTGAGGTTAATCTGGCAGAGAGACCTTAATTGTCAGATTGATGAAGATACATGGAAACAAATTGTGGCTGATAATGGTACAGTTAAATTCACTCAATATAAAATTTTACACCGGTATTACTGGACACCATGTAGGCTTTTCAAAGTAGGACTAATAAGTACCAACACATGCTGGAATTGCAAGACAGAGATGGGCACATTCATACATCTCATATGGGAATGTTCTACGGTTAACTCATTTTGGCAAAGTGTATTGAAATTCTTAGAGGCGTGGGTAGGAATATCCTTGCCCTTATCCCCACGTCTTTGCCTTATGGGAGATAAAACAGAAATTCCAAAATTGACCAAAAGCGTTCATTCAGTGTTGATGGTGGGGACAACCTCAGCTGCCAGAATTATTCTGAGACATTGGAAAGCATCCACTATCCCAACATTTAATGAGTGGAAAGCTTTGATGAGTGAAACAGCATCATGTGAGATTATGTTGGCAAGAATAAGGGGCAGGGGACCTGTGGTTCTAGGAAGCTGGGATTACTTTATGGACTACCTGACCTCTAACTAGTAGGCTGTTTGTTTGTAATCCTGTACCTCTGTAATTTTGTACTTTTTTTCTTTTAACCAGGAACACCTAACCAGTTAGTTATTTTTTTGTCTGACCTTTTTATGTATGTAAACTGTACCCAATGAGCTATGTACCGTGTTTATAAATAAAAACTTAAATTACAAAAAAAAAACAATAATCAGGAAAAGCAATATTGGTTCCATGTTGGTGTTGTTTTGTAGTTGTTACAACAATTCAATTCAACCCATTTTCCCATAAATACGTTTCAAAGTGAGACGGACATACAATTTACCAGTCGGTCTAGTATTAACACATTTAACTCCAGTTTCATTCCTCCCTTTTCAATGATGCCTCTGGTCCATTACAGGCAGCTGGTCAGTGTTTATGAGACACTTATCATATTAATTTGCTTTTGCGGTGCACTTGGCCGTTCTCATCATAGGTACACTAGAACTGACTACAGTTTTAGTTTTGTAACTACATGTTACAGTGACATGACTTTGGCCACAGCCCATAAGTAACAAATTATGTTATTTTATTTTACAGAACATTCAGCTTCTCACCTGTCAGCCAATAAAAATAAGGAGTAGAGGGTGTTTGTTGCATGCACAATTAACATTGCTTTGCGTAAATTTATTAACCACAGCAACCAGAATTCCTTCCAGTGGGCTTTAATGAGAATTCTGATGGCGGCTCTGTAAAAAACAGACTGGAAGTGGAAAAGATTGGTGCAAGTTTGATCATTTTAATCAATTTCCAGCTGTTTCTATGACTAGAAAACTAGTCTCTAAACTTCCAGGATGTGTGGGAACCCTGTGAAATGTTACTGTCCACACTAACACAACTGACAAAGCTTCACGAATATCAAACATGTTTAATACTGACGGGAATATAAGCCCACCCACAGGGAAAACATCCTGTCAACTCTGTTCACATGAAATGAGTAGATGTTTTATAGGGACTATCTGGTTTACCTTGTGCTCCAAGGTGCTCGAGGCATTTGTGGTGTTGCAGGAGAGACCTCAGGTCGTCGGGACTGGAGAGCGCTTCCAAGCAGTCCTTCAGCACGGAGGGGGCAGAGGTCAGCCACGAAACCGTCTGTTTATGGAAAAAAAAGAAAACTCAGGAATGCTGACCCAGCTTTGACTGAAGACAACTCAGCAAGAACAAAGTGCAGACTGAAATGTGACAAAACAAAGCTTTATTCACACTTACACACATAACATTTCATCCACCGTGACTCTTATAATATTGTGACTCCTGAAAATGATAATTATCTGTAAGTATGAATGATTACAGCCTGATGAATACTGCATTTTTAGGTAGATACAGATGTCTGGTAACGATACATATAATATGAGCACACCCAGCCAATGACAACATCAATGATACTATGTTATTTAAAGTATTTCTTATCAAGATAGAAGCATTTAAAGTTACTGTATTAAAGCCTATTTGGTACACTACAACGCAGCACAAAAAACAACAAAATCTTTTTAAAAATAGGACCTGTTAACGTTAAAACATTCCAAAGTTTGGAGGGAAGCGATGAAATCATTTTTGTCCCACTGTTCATCAAATACTTCCTTTAACATGTTGCAAGCAGCAGCTGCTGTAGTGTGATGCCATTTCCTACCTGACTGAGGTCTGGTACTGGCAGGAGTTTTTCCAGTTTAGACAGAAACTCCCACACAAGGAGCTGCATGTCTGTGTCATAGCTGACACCATATTCTGTTTGAAAAACCTCCTGGGAAGAACAAAGGTAAGAGTCACTCAAAAACCCAGTGAGGTCCACAAAAAGACTCTTTTCAGAATGCCAGGTTTGGTTACATGAAGCTGCCTTGCCTGGTAAAAATGCTCCCTCTCTGCTGGGTCTTTCAGCAGCGTTTGGATGAGCTCCACAAAAATGGCCTCCTCTGCGTCCACCTCTGCATCTCCACTCTGTAAGACACTATCGTTGTTACTGCTTGGACCATCTCCAAATGACACAAGCTCCATTCTGACTGTAACTACAAGGCCCAACTCCACTGTGCTTGATATGTGAACACAGACTGCTCTCACTTACTCCAGCGTATCCCGCCGGGCGGATCCGTTCCAGGTGAGGCTGTATACGCAGAATATTGGCTGTTTCCTCATTTCTGCACAGCTCAAGAATAACCTGAAGAGAAAGATGTAGAAAGAAGCGAGAGGTGTCTCTTCAGCAAGACACTGACTTACCTTCATCCATCAAACATGACATTATTGTACGATTAGTAACATTTCTTTAAACTTGCTCTCCTATGACACCCGCAGACCCACCTTCGCTCTCAGTCGAAGGAGCAGTTTGCCTCGTTGCTTTGGACTGAGCAGGTCTGGAACAGTCGCCGTCACCAGCGTCACAAACTCGTCGACCTTTTCATAATCAAGAACCTCTCTGCGCTGAGCCACTTGCCACATCGCTGCAGAGAGCAGCCGCAGAGGAGGGATCAGCAGCCTCAGTGATGACAACGGCAGGAATATATCTGCACAAACACAAGTGTCTTCTGCTCACACCATAGTGCAACAGTTTTCAACCTTTTTGATGTCAAGGACCCCAAAACTAATACACATCAGGCCGCAGAAGATCTATATTTGATAAGATGTAGTCTCAGGGACCCCAATCTGATTAGATTTAGTTATTCCATAACTACTGTAAATTGGCAGAGCAACAGTAAAGAGTGTGAAACTATTCTTATACATTCTGTCATTGGTTTAATTTTTAATCGATTAAATAATATTTAATTGAATATTCTCCATTTTTCTGGGGTCTTGAGAAAGACCGTGATAGTGTACCATTGTTTTTTCTTTGTAACGTAACAAACACAAATAAGTGACAGAACCTGTGAGCATGTTTGCTGATAAAATAAACATTTCCTTGTACACAGGGTCTGGTGTGACTATTCAAGTTGAACACTTACATTTAAATCTGTCTTAAATATTAATAAGGTGGTTAACTGAAGGGTCATTGGGGAACCTCCTGTACCAGATGTTTACAGAACAACATGCATGGATAACCTGTTAGCAGAAAGCTGCTCAAAGAAAAAAAAAAAAAGCTCAAACTAAAGAAAATAAAGAAACACCTGTTCAGATATACTGTTGCCACAATAGCTGCCTTGAGGATATAAAACAACTCTCTTCCCAACAATGTTTAGTCTGTAGCCTCCATATGTTTTCTAGCCCCTTGCATTACATGTTTTTTCTTACTTCACTAATATTATATCCAACTGTCTCAACACTGTACAGGCCAAATATAATGTACCGTACCAAGAAATTCCTCTGACACATCATGAGCCAACAACTCCTCTTACCACCGAGTCGACTAGCCTACAACATAAGCAAACAGTGCGTAATGTGGCTAACGACAGAGGTTTACAGCTTGTCCTACTCACACAGTAATCCTAAACCTTTAAATTTACTCAATAAATATGCTGAAGTTCGTACAAACAGTACACATTGCTTTATAATCCCATGTTTTGCTGTGTTTACATGAGGGAAGTTAGCTACCTACAATCACTGCTGTTAGCTGGAGCTACGAGCTAACGACACTAGAGCTAACAGTTGGACAAACACTGAAACAAAACGGACCTGTGTTTTCAAGTTGATAAGAACTGCCAGTCGTTTCCATGATTTAGACAATGTACGGTCACTTTTAAGAGTCGCTTAACCAACTATCATCAGCTAGTGAGCTATTTGTTATTAGCTTCCTACAGAGCGGAAACACGTCTAGTGAATTGTTTTCAAAATAAAAGTATCGCTTTGAAATAGCATACAAAAGTTCTCTTACATCATCACCAGCTGATTGGTAAAAGTTAAAAAAGTAGTTACAGGCTGTTTTATTATGTTTTTAATTGTTTGTTCCTAAAACATAAGTCATTCCTGTATCTTGGTTGTGTATTGTGTGTCTCTAAGCCTAATATTATACTTAATGTGGTTTTATATAATAACAGATCACTCTTTGGCAGTTAAGGAAACACTCTTTATTTGCAGTATTTTCTATGTGCAAACTTTCAGGAGTTTAGTGTACTGGAATGATACTCCTCATCTCATTGTTCTTTATGGTGTGCAAGTCAAATCTTGTTTCTCTGCTGTCGTCAAATCCCCCCGTCCACACACTGGATCATCAGATGGCTTAGGACAGAACAAACATTTCCAGATGTGTCTCCCCGGGGCTTAGTTTCTTAAGCTTGTTTTGAGAATAACAAGCTAGTTTAGCTAGACCACTTAACAATATTATACTATACAATTATCTTTGTTAACAGTGATTAAATAATGAAAAACATTGAGCCGGTCTGCTCTACTGAGTAACATTTACAGTGATAACACTTGTTTCTTCATGGCTTTAAAGTACATTTTACAAGTCCTGATGACACCACTGCCACTTTTAAATAGAAACACAGTGGGAATTCATCCAAAGACCGTCCACAGCAACTGGTTGCAGAAGGAAGGAGTTCTGTGGTTCATATCTCTGATATCAAAGCAGGATGTCACATGTATGAAGGTGCAGTTTCAGGGTCCAAGCAGTGGAAACTTGGGATGTGTTATCCAATAATGTGGCGACAAATTCAGTCAAAGCTGAGTCAGCACTCCTGACAGCAGGACAGGACCACCAGCACTCCATGTCTTCAGTCTCCAGAGTCCAGAGTCCAGAGTCCAGGGCCCGATCCTTTAACACAAGTGATCACATTTAAGACAAAAACCTACACCCTGAAGACAAAGGAAAACCAATCTGCAACAAAGCCACAGAAGGGAAGTTTACATGAAAATCTAAAGACTGTATTAATGAGCTGGTAGATAAACTGGAAACTGTCTAAATAATAAATGAATCATTTCCAAGCAGCCATACCAAACATCTGCTTGTTCAGCTTCTCAATTATGATCCTGTGTTACTTTTATTTGTCTCACATGATAGCAAACTGGATGAGTTCACATTAATAATGAATTAATTACACACACATAGTAATAACACAGTGGTGACCTCTGCTGTAACTTCTATCTACAGTTCACATTTGAACAGCTAACTCCACATAAAGGACAACAGTAAATACAGGTTCAGTCGAAGCTTCTGGGCTTTAGTGAGTTTAGCTGAATCACAATTTTGTTGATGACACGCCGAAAAGTGAAATTTGAATTAGGAGTGTAATTAAAGTTTCACAATAAGTTTAGAAGACTAGTTTAGCTCAGTAATTTAGCAACTTCCGTAGCCGCCCTCTCGGCTACCAACGTTCACGTTACCTAGAAACTTCTCCACTCCCACGCGCACGTACCTTGTTACGGGACTATGAAATACATGACGAGGAAGAAAACGATATCAAAGACCACGAACGCCCAAAAGTCAAACCAGTAGGAGTGTTTCGGCAAAGAAACCGAATCTCCTTTAGACTGAAACATTTTCTTGTTATCTCCTGCTCCCATCTCTGCGTCCGGCTACCGCGAGCTCCCCGGAAGAGAAAACACAGCATGTCAAGTTGTCCTTCAAAATAAAATCCACCTGACGCTAGGGCACCATAATATTCATCTGTTTTGCTATAATAACTACCTCTTTATCTTCACTTTCTTTTATTAAATACAGGATTTTGGACACAATTTCAATACATCCAATCTTTCTGTGATAATATATGTCTTTCATCACCACTTTTGATGCTTGTTTGTATTGTAAACACTAGATGTCAGAAAGACACCACCAAACACAACTTCAATGACATTTTGTGTTATCATAGGTGTAGTTTCTTTAGAGAAAAAATACTAACATAGCTCATATTTGACTTGTTCCATGACATTTATATCAAGATTATTGTGACACACTGACAGGACCATTTCTATTGCTACAATAAAGTGTCCTTTTTTATATATTTAAGACTTTATGGCTTCTAAATGGTTTTGGTATTATCTCAAAGTATACGTATGTATATGTACACTGTAACATGTTGACACTTTTTTATTCCCTTTTTTAAATAAAAAATGATGTTCTTGTATTCTTCTTATATTATATTGTACAGTGTCTGAGTATTCAGAAAAGCGCTTTTTAAATAAAATGTATTATTATTATTATTATTATTATTATTATTATTATTAATAGATGCTCATATACTCCTGACTCAAGTTGTAATTTCGATGACTGTCTTTACCTCTACTGTACTTGGCTATGTGTTAGAAAACAGTTGTATTTTTTACTTTTTGGCTACTGTACCTAAAACACACCACACAAACACAGTAAAGACAAAAGCTCAGCATGTTGTTTGCTCGTGTGACACCAAATACCATTTATTAGGGCTTTACAAAGACTACAAAATCCTCCAGATGAGTTAAATCACTGTCTCTGTCTATTTACATGATATGTTACATACAAATGTACAAAATATAAAACATTTAAGGACAAATGTTTCACCCAAAAAGAAGAAAACTTTCTCTCAAACCAGAGTAAATGCTATGGTTTTCAACTGAGATGTAACTGCAAAGTGTTAAGTGGGAAAAATTACCAGTTGATCATCAAGACTATGGTCAAGACTATGGTGTACACTGTTAACGGTGTCAAAGCTCTGCTAGCTGGGGAACTAACGGCCTATAACGGGAGTGTAGAATAGCCGAGAGGGTGAACTGTTGGGAGATCTACACTCAGGTTTGATACATGGGTTAACCGTAGGTAGGTAGCAACCTGTTACCACAATAACTGCCCCCTTATCATGCAACTACACACCCTTGCAGATGCAAGGCTGGCCAAGTTAGGCCAGATACATGTGCGAACCATCAGAGGCTTGGCTGCTGAGACACCTGTGAAGCTGAACACAGGTAGGATTGTAGAGGATAGGATTGTCCTGAGGTTGTGACAACATGACTTCTTGGTCTCTGATGGGCTTTGACTGACCAGTAGCACCTGTTGGTTGTTGTTAAATGTATACAGTACGGTGTCAGGTCAGCTTCGGTGCCTCGGACAGCCTAACGTGGCGGTAAGCTTGGGTTAAAATGTCCAGAGAGGAAGTGCTTCCAAGGAACAACAGGCATTCCTAAAGACGGAGAGGATCCAGAGAATATTATGGCAGGATGGGGGAATACCGGAGAAGTGCCTATTTTTTGTTGTGATTTTAGTGAATTAAAAACAGGTTCTTACTGTACACCGTATGCCTCCTGCATAGGCAAAACATCCAATCACCACAAGACACACACCTGTTTCTGACAGCGTGTTGAGTTTTTGCATTTCTTTTTTTTTCTCTCTGTTTTTAAAGTACAATAATTTACTCAGCGGGTTAAGCATATTGTAACATCAACAGGGCAGAATGCATCTTTGATTCACTGTGCAAGACTTAAGTATTTACAACCCACCCCCACCTCAAAGTGTGCAAAACCAACCCACTCGTTAAACAAAGAGAGGACAATCAAAATTCAAAATGGCTTCCGTCCAATACACGCATACATAACGATAAAGGTCTCTTCTCAATGCATCCCCTTTAAAAAGCTTCAAAACATGCTCTTCAGGCTAGAAAACCCAAAACAGTTTGGTTGTGCTCCTGTCAGTTCAAGTGAGCCCAGCTCAGCTGGGCGAAAAACAACTAAAAAATACCCCACCCCTTTTTAAATGTTTTTACAATATTGGTCAGTTTTAAATTCAAATACAGCATCAACTCTTTTATACTTTAACTGTCAGAAACAAGAAAGGGCGGTTTGGAGGAAGAGGGACAAAAAAACAAAAGAGGCTGTTTCTCCCACTACAAGCAGCTTCTTTGACGTAGCAGGAAGCAGATCATCATCCGACATCAACTTCTCTTCTTCTCACTATAGCCAATGGGAGCAGAGGACACCTCCCAAACTTTTGCACATTTAAGGCGGTGAGAAAGCACCAATATCATTGTTCCCTTGCATTTGAAAATACTTTGGATTCTTTTTTGGTAGCTCAAGGATCCCACATGGGTGCAGATTCTGAACAAGACTATCAAATGTCAGTTTGCACCATTCAATTGAATATTACTGATATTTTGTTGATTGATCAGTGTCAGAGCTCTGATTCATATCTGTACTGCTTTCCTGTTACAGCAAACCCAACCTGCTTGTTTCTTTATGCAGGTAAACACAAATATCACAGGAACTCAGCTATTTGCAGTTGACCATAAGCTAACTCCGCGCCCCCCCTCCCCTTAGTAACGGTTGCTACGCCTGTCAAGCTTTCCATTCTCACACCTGTGCAGTTCACAATAATAATGATAGCATGTTTACCACTCGAGATTCATAGTAAGGTAAGGCTATGTTAGAGTTAGCATTCTCACCAGTTAATGATCCATGTAGAAGACGGTATATATATAAACTCAACAAAGAGTAGGTTTTGGAAGCATTGTTAATGCTCGCTTACTAGTGAGGTTGGTTAGTGTATCATGGTAACGTTAGATGCTATTTAACTATTTCTTATACTTTTGCCGTGGTGTTTTTGGTTTTGGAAAGGCTAATAAAGATGCTAAGAAAGTTCAAACTCTTCAAAAGCTGAGTGTATCTCGAACTACATCTCCATGCACACTGCTTTAACATGTGGGAAAATCCAAAGCTTGACAGACGTACCGTGCTGAGCTGTTAATGATTGGACAGTTGCTGTTCAGCGGAGGGGTTTAGCGGACGGTCAGTTGATCGAGTTCTGTGATGACCCACAGAAGGCGCTGCCTGCTGTTTTCATGGTGCATTCTAAGCTTAAGGGGTGACAACAGGCTGCGGAGTGTGGAAGGCCAAGAACAACTTAATCGAAGTTTACAACTGTGGTCAGCTGTGCATTGTGGTGTAAAGTCTCTGTGGGTGTATGGTGGTGTGTGTGCACATTTGGCAGTAAATCAAAGGGAAACATTGGCACTTGTCCTTTTTTTTCTTCACAGTAGCAATGTGGCTGGACTACACACAGACAATGCGCTTTCGTTGTGCTTGTTGTTGGCATGCAGGGCAGCGAGGAGCAGCTTGGCAGTGCCTGACACTGAGGAGGCTCAGGGCAGGAGACCAGCACCACGCGGCTCAACTGACTGGGCAGGAGGACTGTGAGCCGTATGCGTGTGTTATGAAAATGGAATTGCTGTGATCCTAGCTGGGCTGTAGAGGCTTTGCAGATGTCTCAAGTCAACCACATCTGGTGCCGTCTTAGAGGTGCAGAATTGTCTTTATGTTCATAAAAGGCAAAGACACCCACATAAGGTGATATAGTGGTAAACTATGAGACGGAAAAGTGTCCCTCAGCCCTACACTCTACTCTAAAATAGTAACTTGTGAGGAGCCGGTTCAGTTAAACAGCTGGTTTTACATTACTGAAGCACTAAATCTATCTGATGGAGCTGATTCAGTTTGTGTTGTGACCTCCATTGTGACCACCAGAGGGCGGTACATCACAGGAAAATACTATTCTCCTCTTACTTGCCTCCCTCAGTAGGTGGGGTCAGAGAACAGGGTACCAGTGTGGTATAAACAGTGCCTTGCCCAAGGACACTTTGGCAGCCTGGAGTGTTGGTCACATGGGGCCTTGAACCAATTAAAGCCTCTGATCAAAGGACAGTGTCCTCCTGCTGCCTGTGTTTAAGTGCATTTGTATGTGTGTGTGTGTGTGTGTGTGTGTGTGTCTGTGTGAGAAGCACCTCTGTAAACAAGGAAAGACATAAACAATAGAACCTGTCCCCCCCCCATTGTAAACATCTGAAGATATATCTGGGATTTAAAAAAAAAAAAAGAAAAATCCAGTTTTGTCACGTCAACTCTTGGCTTTCTCTTTTTTCTCGGACACTTTGGAGGATTGACACCCAAAGTCAAAATAATGGAGTGATCTGTGGCTCATCGTGGAGTGAGCACAGATGCGATTTACTCCTTGAAAGTCATCTTCAGAGGAACAACTGTCCCTTATCAGACACGTCCCACCTACACATATATGAAAAGTTGTATTCTAAAATGTTATACATCCATTAAAAAATGACTAGCTGAGCTTTATATTTACTGTGATTAAAATATAACCGATCCAACTTGTGTGATTGTTTATCGTTTTGACCACTGAGGACCAAGTTGGCTACTGCTCTTTAAAACATACAATAATTTGATTTAATATTGCACCATTGTTATGTAAAAATATGTGTTTTCTTTCAAATGGTTGGTATACCATTCTGGATAATAAAACTTTTCATATATCATATATCTGTGCACTATAGGGGTGTCTGCTAGCGACGGAGGCTCAAAGGCTCCCCTGGCGTTCTGAGGGGTTCGGCGTCTCCCAGCTCAGCTCTCGGGTCTCATAGCGCCGACTCCAGCGATGAGTCCAGCTGGTCGTCGTGGTGACTGGTGCTGTCGCTGTCGCAGCTCTGCGTGCTGGAGTAGTTAGCTGCCTCTTGCAGCCGTAGCAGCATGTTCATCTGAAAGCACAACAAACAACCAAAGAGACGACTTAATAACTTTTAATGACACTAAATACACTTGAACTTTGACCTGAACCAGGGCCAGAATTGTAGTTTGTTGCATTGTTGTATTTGGTTTGTTTAAATTAATTCTATACAATTACAAGAGATCCAGAGTAACAAAAGTCACATGACTCACAAAGCAGCTTCTTTATTGGACAGAGTTTTGGTACCCTCCTCTCCGGGGTATCAGATAGATTTTATAGATTTTAACTGGTTATGAAACAGTCTCAACATAGTACTGATGCCGCTATATGACCTACATAATTTATGCCACCTGGTCGGATTCCCCTTTAAATCAATGAAACGAGGAAGTAGGAACACTACCTGTTTTGTCCACAGGGGCCACCAGAATCAACACAACATGAAAGTTTCTTGTATGGGCTTGAAGTAAGTAAGTAAAGTTTTTTTATAAAGCACCTTCTTAGGTAAGACGTCATAAAGCGGTTAAAAAAAAAGATGAAGGAAGACATGAAATCAAGACCCAATATTAAAGGAATAAATAAAATTGAAATTGGAATAAGTAATAAATAAGCACAGGTAAGTTTTAAAGGTGTCAACACGTTAGGTTTAAGCCTGGAGCGAAGAATAACAACAAACCCTGAGTAGAAGACCTCAGTGATATGAGGCTGCAGTAGATCTCTAATGTAGGATCCATTTTCTTTCATAAATCCTTTGTTATGTAAATCCTAAAAAACATTTTAATTGGCTTTTCTACACAACAAGAACGGTATGGATAAACTGACCTCCAGTAAACAATTCCAATAAAATTAACTCAAATAAAACGACTGTATCTGTGATCATGCAGAGCTCCAACGTGATTCCAGGAATTGTGAACTAGAAATACACAGTGCCTTGTTGAAAGTGACACCTTTATTTCTGAGTATGGATTTAACAGACGAAGAGAAGACACTGAGGCTTTCCTGCACCTTAGGGATGAGACTGGTGCAAATAAAGACCTTTTATCAGCATTAAGCTGCAATTATCGGCCATCCAGTTTTAATAGCGTTTAGGCGGCCATGTAAAATAGACAATTCAATACAGTATAATTGAATATCATCAGCATAACATTGATAAGATGTACCTTTAAATAGTATTTTTTCTTATTACACCCATTAACCCTTGAGTTTTACTGTTTCTTGTAGCTCTCCCTCTTACCCCTCTTCCCGTTTGTATCACCACCTAGTGAGTAGACCAACCACCATACTTAAAGCACCAATTATAAACCTAAGGGTCTAACGACTGACTGACTTTATTATTATACTTTACATGTGGTAAAAAGCCCTTTTGAAACCTTGTGGTAAATCACCACATTAAAACTGCAGAACTTCTCATCCCTGCAACAGAACTAATGGTCTAAATAATGCAGAAGTGCTGCTGCATCTGGTGCACTGCTTCAAGTGTTCCTTAAATGAGGCTTGGCACACCTGCGCTCATACTGGTCTCGCCTGGACGGCACACACACACACACACACACACACACATACACACACACTTGCTAAATCAAGCCAGTTGTTTTTGGATGACTACCCTTTAATTCCTCTTGGGCTGCAATAACCCACCAAATGGAAATGAATTCGCTCTCTCTTATTCCTCTCTCTGTCTCTCCCTCTCTTTCTCCAGCCCCTCCCTGAATAGTTCATTCAGTTCAGTGTGTGTGTGTGTGTGTGTGTGTGTGTGTGTGTGTGTGTGTGTGTGTGTGTGTGTGTGTCGATGGTAAGGTTTTAAGGTCTTATGTATTTATTGTATTTTTTACTTGGAAAAAGCCAAGGTAACACTCATCACAGGTTTCTATGGATACGAGCATCCTTGAATTGAATAACTTTATGTATCTGCACCATGTGTATGGATATATATTGGATTTACTGAATTAAATCATTTGGTTTTGGTCACAGTTTTGGTCATGTGGGGACAGGTATTGATCTCCTTAGCACATTCTTTTGTGTTCCGTTTTTGAGTATTTGTGTAATTTTTATAAACATTGGGGCTATTTTTTTAGATTATTTTATTACATAAACTAGAAACTAATTCTTCCTCACCAGTGGGTCTCCCTCAGTGTCACTCTGAGACACCTGCTTGGACGAGGCTCCCTCCTTGGATGAGCTATAGCCGTCGTATCCCACGTCCTCCGGCCTCAGTTGGAGCAGCGACTGGCCGTCCTGCAGGAGAGAAGCGGCGTTCCACGGATACGTGTCGTTTACCCACTTGGATGGATCCTCCCAAGCTGCTCTTTTGCCGTATAGCTGCGGGTGTGTCAGAGAGGGAGAGGAGGAGAGAATGATGAGGAGAATGAAGAGTCCAAGCTCACCTGCTATTTTCATTGATGTGCCACAGAGTGGTGTGAATAAAAATCAGAGAGTGTGCCGATTATCATTATCTCCTCAGTTACATTACTTGTCTCATCTCATTCAAACTTGAAAATGGCCAACTTAATGTACTTGAAGTATCAAAAATTAAAGTACTCATTATGTAGAACCTCTGCCAGCATTGTACTATATGATTGGATCATTATTATGTAAGCAGTAATACTTTGATATTGTCCCGATGGAGCTAATTTGATCAGGGTTTTTTTTGTATTTTAAAATCCTAATCTGAAAAACTACAGCTGTCAGATAAATATAAGTAAAAAGTACAATATTTCCTTCTGACATAGTGGAGTAGAAGTATAATGCAGTATAAAATGGAAGTACTTACGTTAGGTACAAGTACACCAAAACTGTACTTCAGTACAATACTGGGTAAACTAACTTATTTGCTTTCCACCACTTTATGTGGGGAAATAACTTTTCTCCTGGAGGTTTAGAACGGCACGCTGCAGCTGATGGAATTTGGATAACTTTGTTTTATATGCTTAAAGATGCATGGTTTGATTTTAAGTTCACAGACCAGTGATCCACACAGAAACATATCTGCTGTTACAAACTCTGTGAGGAATTTAAGTAACAACATAGAAAAAGTCTTGGATTTATTTTGGCGGGGCATACCTGAAGCCCTTCCCTGACAGCCTCCAGCAGGTAGGGCACCAGGGAGTAGTTCCACAGGTCGGTGAACCAAACCCGAGAGCCTTCTACATCCATAGGACAGGACAGGAAGAGACGGGGGCCTGTGGGGACAAAAGAGGCTGGATGATGAGTGTTCATTGAGCATAAGTTACAGAGCAACTCTCAGCACACGTTATAAAGGAGTGGAGGCACGATAACATCCAACAGGGTTACCACACTAGCTTCATTCACTGATAACCAAAGACTCACTGTATGTGTGTTCAGTGGATAGTCAGTACCGTCTAACAGTACAGACAGACAGAGTGTGTGTGTGTGTGTGTGTGTGTGTGTGTGTGTGTGTGTGTGTGAGAGACTGACCTATGGTGACATCGGAGGAGCTGTGTGCCTCCAGGAAGCCGTTGAGGTGCTGCCAGGTTTTGGGGATCCAGTCGATGATCTTTATCAGGTCATTGCTGCGCATATTCCTATCGATCTCTGTCTCTATCAGCTTCCGCCGCAGGAAACGGCCCAGGAAACCTTTGATCGGCTCGGTGTGGTTGGTGCACAGCACCCACCTATGACGGGACAGATGATCAATGGTGTGACAGAAGCAGGGGAGCCAATACATCAGCTCAACATTGAAGCCAATTCCTCATCGAAGCAGCTCATATTAGACATAACAAGACTGTTTCAGCCATTTCTACCATTATAATCAATCGTTTTGGGCTTATTTCACTTCACTATAATAGATTCATATGGAATGAATGTCTGGCCCATGATGAGCTTTCCCTAATGACTTTATATTTGCCAAATCATCAGCTAGTCAAACATGCCAAGCAGAAATGATCCTCACTCAGAACAGGCATTACAGTCCATTCATTTTAATTTAACAAGGCTAATTATCCAAAAGATGTAATTACAACCCTCCCTGTGGAAGAATGCCTTTAGTTTATAATCTATGAGAAATAACATGTTGACACAGGACTGAAATCAAACATGGTAACTGACAAGTGAGGATGATGAAAGCAAGTTCTCTGTGGAACCAATAACATTTATAATGGCAAAGCAATATTTTTCAGACAGGGTTCAAACAGTGACATTTCTGTATAAGTAAAGGTTGTGGTTAAAGTGTCACAAACCTAAAGTTGTGGTGTAGCTCAAGGTTAGGAGAGGAGGAAACTCCTTGGTTCATGGTCCCAATAACATAAGGGCTGGATAGAGACAAAGACAACAACAGGCATACTTAGTCACAGTCACAGCCACTGAAATCACTAAATAACTGAGAAAAATTATTAATTAGATATTTATTAACTGCTGCATTATCTTGCTGATAGGCCAGTATGATATTTAAGATCATTTCTAAAGATGTGTTATTTTAAACTTACAGTTAGTTAAGATTTTATAGATTTTTACTACAATGTATCTCTGACTCACCATTTGTGGTACTTGCAGTTGAGGAAGCCGTTGAATATGTCACTGAGGGAGCCAATATGGTGGAGGTTGTCCAGGATGACCACAGTGGGGAGCTCTGTGTCCGTCTCCTCAGAGTTACACTGTTCGGCCAGGTTGGACAGGTACTGACGCAGGTCCTGGGGCAGAGAGCATTAGCACGTTCACATTTAGATCACTTGAACTTACATTTGAAGTGTAGGTTTGATGCATACCAACAGGTTACATGGACCAACAGCTAAAAACCAAAAGCTCCCCAGCTGTTAAATAAATAATTATATCAGTTATGGTGAACTAACATCTTGGTTTGTTGTCCCACATAATAAGGCAGAAGCTAAATCCAGCCATGGAGAAGAAAAATCAGCTAAACTAGTCATAATAGTTGTTGAGAGGCATTCTGGGCAATGTAAGAATCAACTAAACTAAAGCATAAGTACTGTGGATAAGGTAGACTGGGTGAGAGTGAACACTCCAAAGAAAAATTCCAAAACCCCAAACTACCAGTTTGAATTCCCACCTTGCTGGAATTCTGGTCCACGTTGAAGCTGGCCACGTTGTGCTCGGTCACCTCCTGCCCCATCTGGTAAATAATGTACTCGGCCAGCTTGGCGGCCATGAAGGATTTGCCTGTGCCGCTGGGTCCTGAGAGGATGATACGACGATGCTCCATCAACAGGTTGAGGTAGCGCTGGATGATGGGCTTCGGAATCAGTGTGTCAAAGACAAGGCTGTCAATACTGTTCTCCTTCACACCTAGGAAGAGGACGAGAATAGCATGAACATAGTTATATATTACAGAGTTAAATGAGGTACAAGGTCATATATATTTATCTGCTCCAAAACACTTTTAACTCCTTGCGAATTCAAACCTGGTTTCTACATTAGCCGTCATCTAGAAATAGAAACTCCCATGTTTCCTTGCTGCCATACCTTTGAGGTTGACCTTGATGACGTTGCTGTCGCCCACCAGGTAGCCGCAGGGTAGCAGCTCAGGCACTTCGGAGGCGTGGGAGCGAACCACCTCACCCATCCTGTAGCAGACGATGCTGTCTGAGCTGAGACCCAGGCTGGTCAGAGGGTCCACCCGAAACACATACTCCTGCAGGGAGGGAGGGGTTAGACGACAGTGGAAGATGAAGAGGTGCACTATTGATCATGCTTAAATATAGGCTGTGAGTCTTGCTGTCAGACATATCTTCAAACCGATAATGAATCAGTTTTATTCAAACTGTGGTATAACTTAAGTTAAACTTTGGCTAATTTCAGAAAGTATGCCTTCATCCATGGGTACGATGTGGCACACAAAATGGAATTCCAGGCACTCAAGTGGAATAAACTGCCTTTAATAAACACGGGCCTCTGTGTGGGTGTATGGATCCAGCATTTGTAACCAGAGCGTATGAATTTTTTTTTTCAATTTGTCTCATCTCAAATAGCAGTATTTTAAATTAACTTAATGCCCAGTAATTCCTGTTAAATACCCTTTTAGAACAGGCACATACACATCCCTTGAGAGGACATGATCAGTGCAGCTTTTTTAATTCATATGTAGGCATAAAATGCTACATTATTTGCAAAAGTATCCAGCTCATTAACAAGTCCCTGGTTCTTATTACAGCTATAATATACAGCACATTTTGTGTGCTTGGTGGCTGTACTGTGACGATTCAACTACCACGAATATCTGGACAAACATCATGGCAGGCATTTTGAGTTGACACTGGAGTGACCTTTTAGATAAACCTAAATGGAACTGAATCATCATTACTGCTGCTTTTCCTGCTATGACAAGTCAAAGTGTCTGCAGTGAACCAATGAGCAATGCTCTGTTTACCTTGAAGAGGCGCCGGATGACTCCATCCAGGACATCCCATTTGGTTTTCCCACTCACGCCTATAGACCCAATCAGGTACGCCTGGCTCTGTGTACCCTGAAGAGTTGTCAAATTCATTAAAACAAGTCAGAAGAAAGAGGATTACAGGAGTTTTAGCTGCAGGAACAGAGAAATAATGGAAGATCTTCCTCTACTAACCTTGGTGATATTTGGCCAGC